GTTTAGATTTGATTTTGTGAATAAAACAAAACAGAATTTAAATTAGAGTTTAAGAGAAATTGGTTTAGAATCAATCAAGAACAATAACTAGGACTTACTATCCACCTCCAAACAATCAATCAATCCATAAACAACAATAGATAATCAATTTCTAGCAATCATATGATGACGACACTCACAACAAGATGATGGCATTTGACTCGAGTTGTATGATTATCTCTTAAGTGTATGTAAAGTGTATGGCATTTACATCAATACGTGTATTCTTAATTGAAATCTAGTATGGCATTTACTCAAATTAACAATCAAGAATACATTAAGATCAAAGAGAATATAAGTGTCACAAAAACCCTAAAACATGGCATTTGTTATTAGGAATTCAAGAATCGGTTTCTCATAACTAGTTCTTAATCCAATTATTCGTTGCAAACAAGAACACATTCAATATGGCAATTGACCTATGTTCTACAACAATTTAATTCCAATACATGCTTCAAAGTTAGCTACTCAAAGAAACAAAATATCATAATTCACATAACATAGAGAAACCAAAATGATCACGCTTGTAGAAACTAAAAAATCCATTCAAACTTGTTTATAAAATTGAAATCATGTTTAGGGATTCAAGATTAAGCCCTAACTAACAAGAAATTAGTTACTCATGTTCTTGGATGAACTCAAAAATAAATACATAAGAACTGAAAATTAAAAGAAGAAAGAAAAAGAAAGAACTCGTTGGTAGCTTTCTCCTCTTGTGCGGTTGATCTCCTTAGGACGTGAATCCTTTTTATCGGCGCTTTGGCTGGCATTTTATATCACTTATATCGGAGTTATAAGCCCTAAAATTGACTGAGAAGTCGTCCAAAAAGTCTTGGTAAACTAGGAATCCAATTAGGAAAGTAAAGATCACAATTCCTAACTCCATAGGGAAATACAGCTCAGCCCAATTGTCACACGATTTGGGGATCTTCGGCCTTTAGAAAAATCATTAAAAATATATTTTAGAAAGATAAATGTCTTATATTTCCAACCATATATAGCACGTAACTTGAAAAATTCTAGAAGGCTTCCGTTTCTTCACATTCACATAACATGTACGAAACTGTCCTGTCTGCATGTGGGCCAACTTTACTTGTAATACTGTACCAATTGGCTTAGTAGAAAATTCTAGAAAAATCGTTGAACTTCAAGATGTTAGCTTTGATCTCCAATTGGCCTTGTGCTAAAATTCCTCCGAAAAGTTGATTTTCCCTTAAAAACCTTCTAAAAGCGCAGAAAAGCTGAAAAACAGAAAAGTAAAGTAATAAGCCCCTTTTAAATCTAATTCTTCTACAAAACCTAAGTAAAAAGAGTACATAAATGAGTATATTCATGGACTTATCAGTGCTCATCATGATTCTCAATAGAGTTATGAAAGCAAATGAATGTACAACAAGGAATCTCTATTCTCAGGAAAGGAGAGAGAATACTCCAATATATGATTGGTCAAATCTCTGCACGGAGTAGTAGATAAGACTTGAAAGAAGAAGTCTTCAAATCTTACCAGGATAATCATATAAAAGGAATTATTCACATTAGGATATTGACAATCGAATTCCATGTTCTAATAATGTGAATAATGAGTATTGATATAAGAGAAGGATTCAATTGCACGGTCATTCCAATTTGAATAGGTTCTTTCACAACATCTCATTTAGCTCGAATAACCGTGACTTGTTGTTAGGTGACAACTTTAGTTTGTGGATGTCCTAAAAGGTTTCAATTAACCTTTATTAATAGGAAGAATTAAATTGTGGAATTTAATTCATATATCATCTATGAGGAGTTGAGTCAACCCACTACCTTGCTAAAGGGAACCTACAGATCTGCACACCCAACGAATGTGATTAGAGGTATAAATGAGGAGACACAAGTCAATGGTTGATAATTAAATGTCAAAGTTAACGATCAAATGTCAAAGTCAACGGCCAAAAGTCAACATGTTAATCGGAGCAATTGATCAAAGTCAAATAGTTTGACTAGGTCAATTAAGTAAGACAATAATTATAATTCAATAGTTAAATTAATTATGGAATTAATATTGACATATTGAAATATTGGATTGGGCTTTTAAATATGATTTAAAAGGAAAGGGACAAAATAACCCAAAAGGCTATTGGGCCAAGGGGACTAGGGGCATAAGATGACATGACCCATGGACCAAATTGGTGCCCCCAATACCCATCCAAAATTTGGCAACTAAGGGGAAGCTCTCCCTTTGCCTTTTGTGTTGTCCTATATAGGCTTAGTATTGGAGAAAATCTAGCTAGAGTTTTTGGTTGCCTACTTTGGTTGATGAGTGATCATCTTTGTATCTCATCTTCCATAAACCAAAAATTGGTAAATCAACAAGTAGATTAGCATCCATACTTCTTGATTGCCTTCTCTTCATCTCTAGGAGCATTTAGTGTAGTGAGATAGATGACTCCATCTTGGAACCTTAAGGTGAAGGAGTCAAAATCAAAAGAAAGAAAAGGCCTTTCCAACAAAGGTGTTCATTCTTGAGAAATCAAGAAAAGGTCATCAATGGTAAAGATCTATCCCCTTTTTTCCTTTTCTATTTGTGTTCAAAGAGACTAGGCTAAGATACTTGTTTAAAATGAAAAAGGTTTAGGTCAACTAGTATAAACAAAATGAATCCGCCATTTGGAATATTTTTGTTGTATAGGTTGTAGCTAAAGTTCATTTCCTAAGCATTAGATGCATGTTTCCTTCACTTAAAATTATGAACATACTTTCTAGATACCAAATTTACATGTAGATGTCAAAGTCAGAATTTCTCCAAAAAGTCATAACAAATCAAGAAGGAAAGCATTCCAAAAATGCCATCAAGCCTATTCATAGCAATTTGTGAATGCCCCCTATATATGTAAATTTCAACACCCATTCAAGAAAAAAAAGAAAAAAGAAAGAATAAGAAGAGTGAGAATGGGCACCACAGTGTAGTGGTTGGGGCTTTGCCTCTTCCCAAGAGAGGTCCTAGGCTTGACCCCCCTCATCTGCATGTATGTGAGTTTGTAGATATTTATCGACCCTTTCATTTGGGGAGGCCTTCAAAGAAAAAAAAAGGAAAAAAAAAAGTCTTTGTTAGTTAATATAAATATTTATTAGTATTTATTTTAATAATTAATTAAATTATATTGCGGTTTGTGGTATATCACATTATTTGGATATGAGGAACCGCAACCACAACCGCAATTGCATATTGCAGTCGGTTCTATAAACCGTATGTTGCGATCGGTTTTCGTGATAGGTTTGTTTAGATGCAATAAAACCTCAGTCGGTATTTGTTGTTTTTCGGTCTAAGATGCCAACCCTAGAAAAAAGCATAGACAGGGAGAGCAACATAGAGTTAGACCAACCAAACCGTAGAGAAGAAATATTGCAACACATCTGGGCTTTTTCTTTTCTGGTTAAATATTAATATTTAATAGAGTGTTGCTAAATGAACCCTAAAATTAACTGGGTACATCCTACTACCAAAGTGTTTATTGAATTACTAATATACCCTAATATAAAATTACCCAAAAAAAAATGAAATTGTTAAACAAATATAATTTTAATAAGTACACACTACTAGCTCATCATATTTGAATAAACAAAAACAAAAAAAATATAAGTTTTCATATTGCTTGGTGCCCAGACAAACAACGCAACGAGTACTGGAGAAGGCGCAAGGAAAGGCATCTCAATAGGGCTACTGACCTCACTCAACATAGTGAGCGCTTGAGTCCTTTGGAAAACCTACATTTAGTGTTCTGTATTTGTGTTGAAAGGATTGTCAGTCCTCAAACTGTGAATCTGACGTACTTTTTATAAGACTCTTGACCTGATTTTGATTAATACCTAATTTATGAAGACATAATCAGATCATATCAATTTTATTGCATTTGATTCCAAGCAATTGCAAATCCTTGTCTGTTCTGATAGATATGTTCTTGGCTTACGTGTTTGCTATTTAAAGTTGAGTCAAAATGTCCATGTCGTCCCAATTGCATATCACCTGCCACCAAACTGGCCAGATTTGCATATTTATTTATTGGGTTCAAAATATGAGATAAAAATAAATAGGAGTTAATATAACGATTCACATGGGAAAAGCTTCGCATAATGAAAAAATAAAAAAGGACAATGAGAACTAGTGATGCAGCCCAGAAAAGACAATAAAATAAAATAAAATAAAATAAAGAACTGACAAAGGATGAAATATTAAGAATAAAGAGTTACTTAAACCATGTAAAAAGATAAATCTAGTTTAGGATTGGTATTAGGGTATTGTGTGATAGAATGTATTAGGATATATCAGGGGTATTTTTGGTAGTTAAATAGGGTGTACTTAGTTAATTTTACATTTAGATTAAAATATTATACTATACTTAAATCATAGGGTGTACTCAGTTAATTTTAAAGTTTGTTTAGCAGCATTCTATTTAATATCCTATTTTCTCTTTAATATTGGTAGCATTTTCTATGTCATGAGAGAATGCTCGGCTAGTGTCGATGGCAATGGCAAGTGGAAGGTAATGGTGAGGTTTTGTAGGATATTGATTGAGAGGAGAGTGATTAGAAAACAAAAGGAGGAAAGATAATTGCCCGATTTTCAAAATTATCATAACTAATAAATAAAAATGAAATTTACTTAGCTTTAGAGATTAATTTAATTTAAGTAATTATTGAAACCTAATCTCAACCATTCAGTCCATTCCAATCTAATGGTTGAAAACTTGTGTCATAATTTAAGCAAAAAAGATAATGCCATTGATCACCCCATATGCATACTTGAAAATCTAAATAAGCTTTACTACAATTGCATGATGGTACATGATAGCAGTCAACATACTCCTATTACATAACTCATAGTCAAGCACAAGGTAATTAGCCAAATTCCAAATCTAGCACCACACAAGTCTTAAACCAGACACAAGTAAAAAAACGTAAAGCATAATATAGGTGCTTCCAGCTCATTCCTTAGCCATTTCCCTCTTAATCCATTTGAGCTTGGCTTTAGGATCTTTCAATTTACAAAAGATCTTCATCTTCTTTTCACATGAAACCAACCCTCTTACAAACCACCACATCTTGTCCTGATCATGTCTCTGATCATCTTCATCAAAAATTAATTGTTTAAGTTCCAAGAACACTTTCAGAATTGATGTTTCAGGAAGCCTCCTAGGAACCTTAGCCATTTCCCTCTTAATCCATTTGAGCTTGGCTTCAGGATCTTTCAATTTACAAAAGATCATCTTCTTTTCACATGAAACCAACCCTTTTGCAAACCACCACATCTTGTCCTGATCATGTCTCTGATCATCTTTCAGATCATCTTCCTGATCATCTTCATCAAAAATTAATTGTTTAAGTTCCAAGATCACTTTCTGAATTGATGTTTCAGGAAGCCTACTAGGAAGTACTTCAACAATTCCTCCATCCTTGTCATCTTCCTAACCTTGTCTTCTCCTTTTCTTCATCCCAGATGGACTTTACGTACGCTGAGCAGCGAGTACACAAGATGAGAAAATTGAACAAATATAAAGATCACATTTGGAGAAAACTTGACGTCTACAGTCAAAAACCTTAATGGGCACCAAAATATGACTCCATTCACAATACAATAACTCAATGGGATATTTAGTCATATACCCATTTTTAGCACTAAAACTATAAATAAACCCTACACTATGTTTTAGGCTTTTTTATGAAGTTTTGGGGTTGGGTTTATTTTAAGAAATTAATGGCAATTTTGTAATTTAAAAGAAGTTAAAGTCTTTTTGTTATGTTGTAAATGAGCTTTGGATGTGTTTCTAAAGTCCATTTCATAGAGTTTTTTTTAATAATTTGGGCTCTTATATTGGGTATAATAGTGAATCTCTCTAAATCAAAATAGAGTAACAAATAGAATAATTACTTGTAGACATTTTTGAGTCTCTTTTTCAAGTGTCTGACGGAATAACCGGCAATCTCATCTACCCTTTCCCCCTTTAGATAGCAATGGAACGTCGGGTGCAGCAAAATGCAGACATCAGCAGAGTAATCTTCCATTTTAAAATGAAATCAGGGCTAAAATATATTCACTCAGCTTGAACAAACTGCTTAGCCCATTTTCCAGGATAAGCATAGCCTGTCTATACTTCTCTGAATTATTTATTTAGATATGGTAAGAAATACAAGTCAAATTTAGAATCAGTCTGAAAACAAAGGTCCAACACATGAGAAATTGCATAACTGAATTAAGTGGACATTTACATTAAAAAAGTTAGAAGGATCGAATGCCAATGGGTTCCCACCACAGTGGTGGTGGATTCCCCCTTCACCCCATGGCACCCAGGATCGAACCCCAGTGGAGTTTCTTTCCTCCAATGTAACACAAAAAAATATATATAAAAAGGATCGAATCATTTACCGTATCCTGAATTCCCAACTTGTCCAACATGGATCCAGAGATATTCTATATACAGAATAAAAGTCAGGTCTACTAATTCAGAGGCATAACAAATAATATCATGATTCTTCTATGTGCAGCTGCATGGTGCATCATAATTAGAGTATGGAAAAAATTACTACATGGGCAAGCATTAAAGCATAGCTAATGAAAAATACATAAATTTAATCAGGTGCACGATTAAGTTATCTTTTACCCAGAACATCATGATCAGATAAGCAGACAAGCATGAGATAAAACCCACTATGCCCCAGAACTAGAAAAAGACAATTTTGATTACTTTTCAGTATCATGGACTGTCAAATATATTCACCAACAATATTTCTATTGTTATTATGAAAGTATAAGCAACATCTTCTCCGGAACTCTATACACATTCAATGTGGGTCCAGGGCCATTCTATAGACAATAAACGACATCAGCTATACTAAAATAAAGGCACAACAAAATATAATATCATGATTGGAAAACAACTTAATGCATGACATGACCAAGCGATTAATGCATAGCTAATGAAACATAGGATAAAACCCAGAACAAAAAGCTCAGACAAGCATACAAGCATAGGATAAAACCCTCTATGCCTAGTTTCACTAGACATTTTTATGTCATTTCAACTGTTCAGGGAAACTCCAAGAAGAAAATTTAATTTCTTCTCAGAATCATGGACTGTCAAAATCTATTCACCAACAATATTTCCCAACCACATTCTATGCATCCAGTCTAGATGCAATGTGAAGTGCAGTACAGCCTAAACTATATTTGGAATGTAAAAGGTCTAAAATTGTTAACACTTTAGATTTGTCAGGATTTGCGGGACTATATTTTGTATTGTTGTCTGTGGGGACTCCTTGTCTATAGTGATGTATTCATACTATCAATTTGATAAAAGTAACTTCCTCTCTATATCTAATCAATAAAAGGAGAAATATTCTTTATCTCAAAGACAATGAATTAGTTCACAAAACCAACCACACCACCACACACAAGAAAAAACAAAACAAAATATAACTGTCAACAAAATCTTTTTACATGCATTGTTCTAACATTTCAATGATCTCATATGGGTAAACAAACATTAGATTAATGATTTTCACATCTTGTTCAATTGTTTTCCCTTAACTTATGCACCAACTTTTTAATCATTAAATCCAAATTACAGGTTCCTTTATAAGCCAAACTTATCCCTCGGCCCAAACAATCTGAATATTGTTGTGGTATATGAAACAGCATAGCATGCTGCACAAGAAACCAATTCAAATGAGAAATACTAATAACCCTAAACACTTGCATTGTTTTGGACCTAAAAAGAGAAATAAAAAATTGATCCAAGTTCACCATATTAAAATTACACACCTGATCCGTAAACCTTAAACATTGTTATATGTGGGAATTGCTCACGCAACTCATCAAAGATTGGAGTTATCCACTGATAGGCTGCACAAGAAGTATACCAAAAAGGAGCACTTCACTGCAAAGGACTTGATTGATGAAAGCAAATTTACACTTAAAAATGAAAGTAAATTCATTGATTAGAAGTTACAACTTACTAGTCCGGCACCAGCGTGCTGTGTAGAAGAAAACAGCAGACATACGTTTATCTATCCCAAGGAATTAGAAAAACTAAAATTAAAAATGCACAACAAAACTTAATTTGGTATTTCGAAAATATTTTTTCTATTTAAACCCCACACTTCTCTTAGTTCACCCCAATACTTAAATCATTAAGCTGTAAATTTTATTATTGTGTAAAAAGACAAAAAAAGTTATCCAACTTAATACTTAACCCTAATATATCTATACACACACCCCACAACTCTTCAAATTAAGTTTTAAAAAAATACAAACTCTTCTACATCCTATGCCAGATTAATTTTCTCTTTTAAAGACGTAGAACATTGACGAGCCTACCTCTTTGAAATCTGCGCGGAAGTTGATGGAAAGACTTGTTGATTGTTTCGCTATAATTATTCTTCTTCCTTCGTTCCCTTGCTTTGTTTTTTTTTTTTTTTTTTTTTTTTTTTTTTTTTTTTTTTTGGGTGTTGGCTATTGATTGCTTGATTGTTTTGATTTTTTATTTAAATTTATACTTGATGTTTTGGTAACACTGTTCTCTTTCTCTAGAAAGTATGGGGTAACTTGAATTTTTGTACAACGCTTGTGCACCTCATTCTTAGATACCTACAGTTCCAAAGATAAACTCTTTAGCAGTAAGCACTGTTGGAAAAACTGCAAATCTTTGGAGATGCTTTTAGAAAAAATTCAAAGAAATTGGGAGGCACACTGTAGTTGGAGTTCTTAGAGGAGTCATGCTGTCTTTTGATGTCTTGGAAGAACTAGCACCAACTCTTGAATTTTCAATCTTCCTGATGACTGTTGATTGACGACCACTCTTCGACCCCCTTTTCCTCTTACTTTCCTACTTGTTCATTGACAACCACTTCAAAGGTTGGAATCAATGCACTGCAAAACTCAAGGAATAATAGGAAGCAACAACAATTTATATCAGTTTGAAACTTGAAGGGGTTTAAATAGAAAATCTCTTTTATTTCTTATTTTTTCAGTTTGGGGTGTATTTAAGGGTAGTTTGGGAAGATAGTGGGGTTTACTTAGAAATTGTGAAAATTTAAATTAAAAGTTGGGGTGAACTAAGAGAAGTGTGGGGTTTAAATAGAAAATCTCTTTCGAAAATTTGTAGAATTAATAGGAGGATGAGGTTGGTGGAGAAACTGGCATACCTTTAACTTTATCAAGTGCATCGTAACAGATGATGAGGCTATTAATGACGAATAGGTTTGAGCGACCTGAAAGTAAAATATTTGAAACTGATCTGAATCTGAGAGTAGGGTTGCGGAGGGGTCATGTCCCTGTCGCAGAGATTGAAAGAGTTGGGTCGGAGCGAAACGGATATCCACTCTAATCGGTGAAGATGATGCGGTATTTGGTACTGAAGTTAGGTTTTGGATGGGTTTGTCGTGAAGATGATGAAGAAAACCTGCAGCACACAGGTGGTTGCGATTGCCAAGCAATTGGTGTATCAAAACCACTAAATTCCTGGCCATTTTCGTTTCTCTTGCTTCTCTTCGCTTCCCTAACCCTTCTTTTCTCTTCTCTTCGCTTCTTTTCGGTTATGTTTTAGGATATGATTTCTCCACTCCCCTTTTCTCTCCACCTACGCTTCATTTTCCTTTTAAATACTTTTTAATTAGGCTTAAATGTCAAAATGGACCTGTGTTTTACCTATTTGGCCAATTTAGTCACTGTGTTTACATCTGTTAGCCAATGTAGGACAATCTATCAAATAGAAGTTACAATAGACATGCATAAGGGTATTTTAACACAAACCAAAACCCTAGCGACTCTATTCCTTGGCGCCAATGACAATTGTCGTAGTCTGCGTTCATGAGAATTGGGGTTTCAAATTCAATCAATTCCCTTGAATATCAATCACTTCACTTGAGTTCGAATAAAGATGGCAAGGAGATGAATCGAATCTGAAAGAGGCTCAACCAACTCGGTTTTGGTTTTGAGATCTCTACATTCCTTCTAATTTTTTATTTTTTATTTGGTACAATACGGGGCCAAACACCCAAAATCAAACAAACTACATAGGAATCAACCTTGAATTAGGGGTACTGCTAGCATCAGCAGCAAGAACTTCATTAAGGAAGAGAGGTTCCATATCCAAAACATGAAGGCCCAAAGGGAAATCATAGCTCCTGGCAGCTAAGGCATCAGCAGCCTTATTTTGTTCACGTACGGTAAACATGAGAGAGGGAGCAAACCCAAACAACATGGAACTGCAATTTACAGCAATCACCGTGAGAGAGAGAGAGAGAGAGATCTCTAGATTTGATTTGTCTCCTTGCTCTCTTTATGCGGACTCACGTGAACTAGTTGATATTCAAGGGAACTAATAAAATTTGAAAACCCTAATTCTCATGAACGCCAAGGAAAAGAGTCGCAAGCATTTTAGCAATTGAGTTTGTGTTAAAATACCTTTATGCCCACTCACGTGCTATGCACATGTCTATTTTAACGTCTATTTGATAGATTGTCCTACATTGGCTAATATATGTAAACACAATGACTAAATTAGCCAAATTAAAAATACAGGGACTAAATTGGTTGAATGGGTAAAACACAAGGACCATTTGGACATTTAAGCCTTTTAATTAATTTTATTCTTTCTCTTTCTTATTCTATCATCAGACCTTTTCCTTGTGCGGACTTCAAATACCTCAAATTCGGACTACTGCATCCATATGTCGTACACTTGGATTATGCATAAACCTACTTACAACAATTACTGCATATGCAATATCAAGTCTAGTGTTAGACAAATAAATCAAATGAACCAACCTTTTATATCATCCCATATCAGTTGGAACTTGATCTAGATATTCTTCCAAACCATGATTTTGTTCTATAGGAGCACCAATCTACTCACACCCAAGCATACCCAAGCATACCTATTTCTTTTAGCAAATCAAGAACATATTTTCTTTGTGACAAGAAAATTCCATGTTCAGAACGAGTTACCTTAATACCCAAAAAATATTTTAATCCACCGAGATCATTCATAGCGAACTCAAAAGCTAAATAGCCTTTTAGTTTGCCGATTTCATCAAGATCATCACCAGTCACAATCATATCATCCACATAAATAATAAGAGTTGCTAACTTACCATTCTTCCTTTTAAGAAATAAAGTATGATCAGCATTGCTCTCCTCATAACCATATTTTTTCATGGCACAACGGAATCTCCCAAACCAAGCTTTCGAAGACTGCTTCAATCCATACAACAACACTGGCATCATTAGGAGCATTATAACTTGGCGGCAATGACATGTAGACTTCCTCTCGTAAGTCTCCACGTAAAAAGGGCTTTTACATCATATTGCTGCAATGGCTAGTTAAAGTTTCTAGCTAAAGATAATAGAACTCGAATGGTATTGATCTTAGCCACTGGTGCAAATGTCTCTTAATAATCAATACCATAAGTTTGGGTAAAATCTCGAGCCACAAGTCTGGCTTTATACTTGTCAATAAAACCATATGGTTTGTGTTTTATGGTATAAACTCATCTACAACCAACTAGTTTCTTCCCTTCTGGCAGTTGCACCAATTCTCAGGTATGATTTTTCTCAAGAGCTTGCATCTCTTCAGTCATAACACTGCCCATTTTGAATCAAATAACACATCTTGTACTTTACTAGGATTAACCACCGTACACATTTGATTTACAAATGCCTGGCAAGCTTCAGATAATCTGTTAGTAGACATATAATGAGCAATAGGATATTTTACCTTTGTCAAAAGCTCTAGTGAATATCTATTTGGTGGCTTCCCACAATTACTCATTGGTCGTAACTGATATACACTATGCTAAACAATTTCACAATAATTGTTAGTATTAATCAAAGATTCTATACTTACCTCAAAAATGTCAGCATGAGGAGACTAAGGGTCGAGTACTAGAGAGAGGGGCGGCGTCGACGTTATCAGTTGTGGGTGCGGTGTTGCTAGAAGGTTCAATCGCAAGTGCGATACTGGCCTAATATGTACAGACCGGTTTTGTGAAAGTCGGTTTGTTACTAGCTGTCAAGTCACACATGGTTAGCCAATTAACCTCAATATTATCTTGAAATAACTCTATCCATTTCAACTCTTCAATGTTACTCTCCCTAAAAGAGGAGAAGGGGGTATTGGGTGAGCAAAATACATCTCATGCTCGAAAAATGTATAAAAACGTCGAGTCGACGGATGAAAGCACCGATAACCCTTCTGATGGGGGTGATAACCAATAAACACACAGTTCACAACACATGGATCGAATTTCATACGTCGGTGTTTGTGCAAGTTCACAAAAACGTGCACAAAAGCTATACACCTAAAAACACGAGGTAAAAGAGTGAAATGAGATGGGAGGGAAACATAAGCCTTCAATTTTCCAATGGGGTCTTAAACTACAGGACACTGGTAGGAACAAGATTAAAAAGATAGACTGCAAAGGTGATCGCCTCCTCCCAGAATTAGGGGGTCATACAGGCACCAATAAGACTAGTACGAGTAATTTCAAGAATTTGGCTATTCTTCCTTTGAGCCACACCATTCTGTTAAGGTGTATAGGGACAAGTAGTCTCATGTAGAATTCCATGTTCCTAAAAATAACTGTGTAAGACATGATTAACATATTCACCACCATTATCCGAACGAGCACCTTTAAAGTAGTAGAAAATTGAGTTTTAATCATCTAGTGAAAAGTCCGAAAGCAAGCAAAAACATCACTCTTATTTTTCATCAGGTACAACTACATCATGTGGTGCAATCATCCACAAAAATAACAAACCAACGGAAGCCAATAGTAGTAGTAATTGGAGAAGGGCCCCAAACATCAGAATGTACCAAAGCGAAAGGCACAAATCTTTTATTAGAGCTAATAGGATAAGCTGCACAGTGAATTTTTGCCAAATGCAAGTGTCACACTTAAAATTTGAAGGTTTACAAGTTGAAAATATAGACGGAAACAAATGTTGTAAATAGCCAAATGAAGCATGATCGAAACGAAGATGCCATAACCACAATTGATCCTCAACTGAACGGTTCGAACCCTTGACAGACAGAGCTTTGTCCTCACACACATCATCCACATAGTACAAGCCCCTTCTCTCAGTACCACGCCCAATAATCTCCACGTTGTTGAGATCATAAAGAAGACAAAAAGTAGGATAGATTAATACTAAACAATTTAATTATTTTGTTATTTACGGATATATAACAAAGAGCGTAGGAATCAATAAAGTATGGTCCAATGTGAGAGAGGGAGTCAAATCAATGCTTCCAACACTAGTGACCAGAGAGGGCACACCACTGGCATTATCAACAGTAAAACAAGCAGGAGAACAATGATGGTGAAGAAGAGAAGCATCAAAATTCATATGATCAGTAGCTCCAGAATCAAGAAACCAGACATGGTCCTTTTGAGAATCAATAGTAAGGAGAGATAGACCAATATTACCTGATTGTTGGAGAATGGCAATATCTGCCCTAGAAGGAGTAGAGGGAACAAACACCATAGGAGACATGGCGGATGTAAGAGCAACTCCACCCATTTGCCCTTAGCCATGGCAAGGGGGGGAGCTAGGGCAGCCACTATTCACGTGAATAGTGGTTGCCCTTGCAAAATCCGAATTTTGTGTTTCCACCCGTTGCCCTTGCTAAGGGCAGTTACTATTCATTTTTTTGTTTTATTCACAACTTTTTTACCTCAATAATTAATTTGGATAATATTTTCGGATAAGATTTTCGGGTTCCTACGTGTCAATACTATTCATATCTCATAATCGGATAAAATTTTCAATTTCAAATTTCAGATAAATTATAAATAAAAAAAAGGCTGGTATTTATAGAAAAAAATTCATTAATTTTTGGGTATTTTTAAAAAAATTTTCCGAATTTTTTCCAGTATTTTATTGCAAAAAAATTGGCTGCCGTTGGATTGGAGGAAAAAATCAGATCGGAGAGCCCAGACGACGCCACGTGGCAACAGGAAAAAAAATAAAATCAGCGAGGTACTGTAGCGGGGGTACTGTAGCGTTACTGTAGTAGAAACTGTAGCGCTACAGTAACCCCCCTCGTTTTGGACCTCGAGTAAGACTTGCCTTCGGGCCAACCCGAGGAGGTGGGTCCCACACCCCCCCGGGGCTGGGCTGCTCCGCTGGAACGCCATTTTTTTTTCCCCTAGCCTCGGGCTGGGCTGTAGCGTGGAAAGGCTCTAATAGGTGCCAATTCAACAGTACAAACGACGGCATTTCCCTCCCGGTTAGGGAGGTTGTCATGACCCTCACGGGCCCTTCGCTCTTTATAGCTATGCCACCATTGGGGGTATCTATTCTTCTGAAAGCACTACTCCATAGAATGGTGAGTACTGCCACAGTGAGTACACTTCCTAGCAGTAGCACCATGAGATGAGTGTTAAGTCAATGACTGATTCCCATGGTTCTTGATAGCCATGGCCATATTGGAAGCACTAATCGGATTAAGCATGGTATTGCAGCGTTGCTCCTCACGCCTTACAATGACAAAGGCTGTCACTGGGTTAGGAAATGGTTACGTACGAAGGATTTCACCGCAAATAAGATCACAATTATCATGAACACTAGTCATAAACAAATAGACACATTCCTCATCAATCTCCTTCTAACGAACGTTAATCGCGTCAACCTAGGTAAAAGTAATTGGCTTGAGGTGATCAAGCTCCTGCCAGATAGCCTTCAAATTAGAAAAATAGAACGCAACGGATCTTCCTACCTACTTAATCTACATAGCTTTGCGAGATAAATCATAGATAATTGATCTATCAACACCTTCATAATATGTCTAAGATGCGGCCTCCTAAATATTTTTGGCAATGGGAAGATAAATAAACAAATTCATCATACTTGGTTTCATGGCACCGATTAACCAACTTTTCACAATAGCATTCTCCATCACCCACATTTCATAGGTGACCGCATCAGGAGCAAGTTCTGGAATAGTACTAGTAAGATATCCCATGTTCCCCTCGGCCCACAATAAACATAGTAATGACTTGGGACTATAGAGTGTAGTCGGTGCCATTTAACTTGACACCGTAAGGATTAGACATCGATTGAGAAACAACAGTCACAACTGGCGTAGAAGCATAAGTAATCGAAGCATTAGTAGCAACCTCTTGATATATATATATTAAAAAATTAAAAATTAAAAAAAGGTTGCCAATCTCAATATCGTCACAAGCCATAAAAGTATATTAGGGTAGGGTGTACAATAAAATGCAGCAAATTTAGGCAAGGGCAGGAAATTTAGGGCAAAGGTAGGAAGAAATAGTAACAATTTGTGGCAAGGCAAGGGTAGGAAAATTGCTTCAAGGTACAACAGTAACAATAGTAGTAGAGAGCAAGGCAAAGAATAGCAGTGGCAGCAGGATCCTAGGATCACTGCTCTGATACTAACTTAAATAGAATTTAGGGTTTCAAATAATTCAGTATATTTCTTCTCATAAGGTATTGATAGTGATACAAATACAAGTCTATCTAGGAAGTAATTACAATAAGGAAAAAAGAAATAAATACAATCCCGGTCAAACCGGTATTCCTATAATTACAAATCAATTATAATAAAGGTAATTGTCTATAATTTTTATTGTGATTTAGTGATTCACGCCAACAATAAATAGTATCCATGTCTTACGTATGCAAGTAAAAATGAAAGATGGAATTCTACTTGGTGTTTCCTTTCATCAATAATTTTTTCACAAAAAGAAAACAATTCGTTAAATAATTTTTAGCTTAATAAAGCTATTCTTACCACATTTGTATATGATATTCCCATACCACCTTATGTAGCATACGAGGGTTGGTTCAGTTGGTAAGGTCTCTGCATTGCCCCACCAGTGTTCGAGTCCTGCTGTCAACAGTCCTCATTGGTGCATGATCTGTAATTTCCTACATAAACTCATACCGATGGCAGCTAGCAGTTGGGTGCCATGCGTAAGTCCTTCCGGCTTGAGATTGTGGATATGCCCTGGTGCTAGTGGTGAGAGTAGCCAATCTCCCCCTAAACTTTTTTTACAAAAAATAAAATAAAAAAAATAAAAAAAATTATTTAACATTTTATTTTATTTTATGATTTATTGACACTTTTTAATTGATGTGGTTGTTCACTTCATATTCCATATAAGGTGGTATACAAATGTGGTAAGAATAGCAATACTCATTTTAGTTATCAATAATGTTACTCTTATCACATTTTAATGAGCTATCTTTTAATTATACATATATTTTTACTTAAAGCACATAAATGGTGCAAACAATTACCATCTTTGTATCTTGCCCTTTTCTTTTCCAAATTAAGCTATTGAGATTTTTCTTTATTTTCTTTTAAAAAAAAATTTTAGTACAAGTGATGGTCTAAACTACAAGGGAAGGGGGTTTCTAAAACACATACAACTAAGGGCATGTTTACGTATTAGTAATGGGTATAGAAGGAAATGGAATTATTTCCATTCCTGACTTCTCCTGCGTTTACTTGCAATCAAGAATGAAAAAATGAGTGGGCTCCACCTCAAAATCTGTAATTACATTCCCTCAAAACTAGGAATCAGATCAACTAGGGGGGAGTAGTCGATACGATTCCCATTCCTGTTTTCTCTTAATAACTTCCAAAAATACCCTTATCACTTTACCATAATTCTAAAATTAATTTGGATTCTGATTCATGCAAATTAGTAAACAATAACAATGGGAATCAATCTCATTCCATTGCTAATTCCATATGTTTAGTAAACAGCTTAATGGGAATGATTCTTTTCATACCGATTCAATAGTTCTCCGATTCCTAAATTCTTTGATTCCTTAGTTTCTTCATTACTGATACGTAAACATGCCCTAAGATGTAATGGAGGTTCGAACCCAAGACCTCTAGTCTGCAAGTCAAGACCCTTTTCCATTATGTTAAACCTCGTTGGCCATTTTTATTTTAATTTCTAAGCAATCCAAGCACTGAAAATTCAAGACATCTTCATTAAAATAAAAAAAATAAAAAAAATAAAAGGAAAAAAGAAAAAGAAAAGGCAAGATCTCTTTAAAGCATACAAACGCATTTCTGAACCCATCCACATCTATGATGTTTTGGCTTTTATTGTTTGTTGCTTCCTTTGTCCTTTTTATCCCAATAAGCCACCCAATTTGTGAAAGCTGCAAAATAATTAAAATTGAAGCAGACACATCGAACAAAGACTGCTGCCGTGAGGAATCCGACTAGGGACGAGGGGAATGGTGGGCGGGAGACAGAATTTCAAATTAATAGTTTTATTTGAAAAAATAAATAGCTTCATTGTTTTCAGCTTTTATGTGTTTATAACAGAAGATATTAAATGATGTGGCATAGTCACCTCAGCTATTACATAAGGTTGTATAAAATTGCGGTGTAAATAGTTGTAATAAGTTACCTTAGCTTTCAATCCATTTAATTTTTTCTCAACCCGAGCGAGTAAATTCTCTAGTATTGATTGACTCATTCCAACAAATAATCCTAATTATTTTTCTATTGAATATTTATCAGATATTGAAGAATATTCAAGAAATATTATTATTTTTGTCTATTGATAGACGCAAACAAAGTAAACAATAGACTTGTAAAAGTTCATATTTTGGAGAAATTATAGAATACTACGGTAGTATGGTTACGTGATAGTACACGTGTATAATATGGATGAATGATAGGGTTTACTTTCTCCCATTTTAGGGAAAAGTATTTATAAATATTCACTTATATTATAACACGTGTATAAGATAAATACATAAGGTGAAAATGGATTCAATGGCAGACCCATAAATTTTTCAGCAAAAGTACAATTTTTAAAGGCACTAGAGTTGATCAATGAATAAATTTTTATAAGGATTTGGAATTCTCTCATCCAAAAAAAAGAAAAAAGGAAAAAAAGACTTAGTGTGGCCAAGGACTGACCATGGCTGTCAATGGTTCAGTTGGGAGTTGAGAGATATTAGCAAATCGCTGACACTTATCGCACTTCTGGGTGAAGGCTTGGGCATCAGTGTGAAGTGAGGGCCAAAAGTATCCTTGCCTAATGGCCTTGTGTGCTAGCGAGCGAGCACCTGAGTCATTTTAACAGATGCCTTCATGAATTTCCCGAATGACATAATTACCTTCTTCTAGGGTCAGGCACCGTAGGTAGGGGAGGCTGAAGCCACGCTTGTATAGGGCGTCATTGATGATCAAGTATTGAGCAGAGCTATAGTGAACACATCTTGCTTCAGCAGGATCCGCGGGTAGTGTTTGGTTTTGTAAGAATTGAGTGATGGGGTCCATCCATGTAGGGTTGTGATCAATGGCACATATAAGTGGTGTTTGTGTGCTGGGCTAATCCAAGAACTTGATGTGGATGTTGTGTCATATGCCCTGCTCCAAAGTGGAGGCAAGCCTGGCCAATGCATCAATATGGCTGCTCTCAGAGCGTGGTACTTGGCTTATAAGATGAGCGTCGAAAGTTGCAAGCAAGTGGCAGGTATGCTGGAGGTAGGCTGTCATAGAGATGTCCTTGGCCGTGAAGTCCTGGTTGACTTGATGGACAATGAGCTATAAATCGTTGAATGTCTGGATTTGCTTGGCGCCCATTTTCTTGGCGAGCCGAAGGCCGACTAAGAGTGCTTCGTATTCTGCCTCATTGTTGAAGGTGTGGAATTTGAAGCGGAGGGCGTACTCAAGAACAACCTTGTTTGGGGAGATGAGAATGAGGCCAGCCCCACATCCTTGGGCATTGGAGGAGCCATCCACATATAAGGTCCACAAGGGTTGGGTCAAGTCTAGGGTGCCGTTGCTGGCGGCATTGTCCTAGCTCGAAGAAAGATTGGGTTCGGTTATGATCTGGGTAGTAGCCGAAACTTGGGGTTCAGTGAATTCTGAAATGAAGTCAGCAATGGCCTGGCCCTTTGTAGCTGGGTGGGGTTTGTAGTGGATATCAAACTCACCAAGTTCAATGGCCCACTTAACCAACCTCTCAGAAGTCTCTGGTTTCTGCAACACTTGCCTGAGTGGTTGGTTGGTTAAGACATGGATGGTGTGAGCTTGGAAGTATGGTCTGAGGCGTCTAGCCGAAACTACAAGGGCAAATGCTAGTTTCTCAATGTCTGGGTACTGAACCTCGACATCTTGTAATGTTTTGCTAACATAATGTACTGAGTGCTCAGCACTTTCCTTCGGCCTGATGAGCACAGAGCTAACTGCCATAGCCGAGACGGAGAGATACATTGTAAGGGTGTCTCCAAGCTCAGGGGTTGACAATAAAGGGGTATGGCTCATATACTCCTTGAGCTCGTTGAAAGCCTTGTCACATTCGGTAGTCTAGGTAATACTTTTCTTGCTACTCTTAAGTGCTTTGAAGAATGGGGTGCAGCGATCAGTGGCCTTAGAGATAAATCTTGTCAGGGCTACGACGCCCCCGATAAGACTCTGGATGTCATTGACTGTCTTAGGTATAGTCATATCTAAGATGACTTGGATCTTTTCTGGATTGGCTTCAATACCTCTCTAGTTGATCATAAAATCAAGGAATTTTCCTGAAGCCATGCCAAAGGCACATTTTGTGGGATTGAGCCTCATCTTATACTGCTTCAGGATGGTGAATATAGCGGATAGGTTGGAGATGTGCTAGCCAGCAGTGCGACTCTTGACTAGCATGTCATCAACATAAACTTCCATGGTGCTGCCAATTAGTGGGGCGAAGATGCTGTTCACCAGACGCTGATACGTAGCCTTGGCGTTCTTGAGGCCGAATGGCATAACTTTGTAGCAGTAAAGGCCATGGTCAGTGATGAAGGATGTATGGGCTTGGTCATCATGGTGCATGAAGATCTGGTTGTACCCCGAGTAAGCATCCATGAAGTTGAGGAGGGCGTGGCCAGCTGTGGCGTCAACAAGCTGGTCGATTCGTGGTAAAGGGAAGCTATCCTTCGGACAAGCTCGATTGAGGTTAGGGTAGTCCATGCACATGCGCCAGCCTTTCTTAAGTTTATGGACCATCACCACATTGGCTAGCCAGGAGGGGTAGTCTACCTCTTTGATGAATCCAATGTTACTCAACTTATCCATCTTCGCCTTCATGGCCTCATACCTCTCCGGGTCATAGACACGACGTTTCTGCCGAACGGGTCGGATGACAAAATTAATGCTTAGCTTATGGGAGATGATATCAGGTGATATGTCAGGCATATCGTTGTAAGATCAGGCAAAGACCTCATAGTTGAGGCGGAGGAAGGCCACGAGGTCAGAGCGAAGCTCCTATGAGATGGGGGTGCCAATTTGGACCTGCCGATCTGGATGTCATCCTGGAGGCTGACAAGCTCAAGGTCTTCCACAGGTTCGGCTTGCTGGGTGACAGATTCTTCCCTAGGGTCTTCAGGGCATTCAGTGCCAGTGCGAAGAGGGGCTTGAGCGATAGGTGGATTTCACTGCTGAAGCATAGCAGCTTCAGACACCAAGTTGGTCGCCGCGCACCGTGCCTGTGCCATGGGGGGTTAGGAACTTCAGCAGCAACATATGTGTGGAAATGAAGACCTTCATTTGTGCAATGGCCGGGCGCCCAAGGATGACATTGTAGGCTGTAAGACAGTCAACAATGAGGAAGGGAGTGGTGACCATCGCCCGCTGGGGCGCTGCTCCAATAGAGATGGGGAGATGGATGCTTCCAATGGGCTGGACAACCTCACCAGAGAAGCTCACGAGGGGTGTAATGCTTCGGTCAAACAAGTGAGACGGAACCTAGAGCTTGTTGAAAGCATTAGCAAACATCACAATAACTGAGCTGCTAGTGTCCACCAGAATACTCCCAACATCAAAGTTAGAGATGTCCGCACGGATAATGAGTGGGTCATCATGAGGGAGAATAACACCACGTTCTTCTTTCTCGCATAAGGTAATGGGGGCCCAGCCTGATTTTTGCATCTTCGACAGGCGTCCCTGCTCGGTGCTGAAGACCTAGTGCGCATAGGTGGAGTGGACATAATGTTTGATGGAGTTGTTGGAGGTTCCAGCCATTGTAGGACCACCATTGATGGTTGAGATCATGTTGATCTGCTGTTGGTGAGGGTTAGGTGGAGGGGGTGGGAAATGATGCACATATTTCTCCAGTTTGCCTTCACGGATGAGGCCTTCAATGATGTTGCGCAAGGCAACACAAGATTCCGTATCGTGGCCACCGAACTGATGAAAGCTATATAAGACACCTGTGTTGGGCATAGGCTTGTTGCCTAGTCTCTTGGGGGGAGGTTTGGGTATGATAAGTGCCTCGTGCACCAGGACATTCTAATAGGTGGTGTTGAGAGTGGTGAAGACCTCGAACCTAGGCTTGGGTGTGAAGGGGAGTGGGGCCCGATCACTTATCCTGGGAAGGTTGCTTCCACTAGACTAGTGGTGGTTGCCATGTCTGCCCTGCTTGTTATTACTGAAGGTATGCTGGTAGCTATCATTCCTTTTTTTATTGCGGGGTACCTTGGGTGCTTGGGGTGGGAGCAGAATGCTGAGGTGAGGCTAGGGCAGGTACTGAAGCAGGTGGAGAATCAGCGAAGGTGCTACGCGCCAGGGTAGCTGGGCCACGCTTAGAATTGAAGTATTCAGCCTTGGCGTGAACTGCTGCCTGCTTCATTAACTTTACATATGTGTTCCAACTGTTGCTATGAACTAAGTAGCGGAAGTTGGACTCACGGAGACCACTCTTGAAGGCACCAAAGGAAGTGCGATCGTCGATGTCCGGACAGCGGGAGTACTTGTGACTGAATCGGGCTGCATACTCCCGAAAGAGTTTATCCTCGCCCTGCTGAAGCATGTACAGTTCGTCTGCGGAGTATAAGCGATCGGTCTGAATCATGAAGTGGTCCAGGAAGGTCTGCTTCAAATTGTCAAATGAGTTTATGATGCGGGGGTTCAGCCTGTAGAACTAATTCAGGGCCGCGCCACTGAGGGTTGAAGGGAAGATGAGGCACATGTCATCGTCACTAAGGCCCTTGCACCCGAGGGCAGACTGGAAGGAGTGGATGTGGGTGAGAGGATCCTCCGTGCCAGTGTAGAAGGCGATACGGAGAGGCTGGATGTCCTTCTTCTGGTGATAATTGAGGATGCGTTCAGTAAAGGGCCCAGGTCGTGGCTTTGCCCAGAGGGGCTGGTGGCTGCGCTGCTGCTCGCTCTCCAGGCGCCGAACCTTCTCGAAGAGAAGCCTCATGGCCGGGCCGGCATGAGGGAGAGTCTTAGATGCTGAAGGCCTGGGGGGTGGGCGAACAGGAGCTAGGGAAGGTTCTCGTTCTTCAAACGCCTCAGTGTGATAAAACTCTCAGTCTTCTGGGTCATAGAAGTCCCAGTTATCTGAGTCCCCTGCACCTTCTCCAGTTGGTAGGTGTGTGGGCTTCAATAGGGGACCTAGGTGTGTCACCCTTGGGTCCCTAAGTTTAACAGGGATAGGTATAGGTTCTGTCTGACGGTCCAAGAGACGGTCCCTGCAATCCTTGTAGACCTTCGTCAGTTCATGGGGCCGGTCCTTCGGTGGAGTGATGTGAAAGAGTCGCGGCTTAGTTGTCTATGGGTAAAGAGGGCATTTACCCTTGCTGAGCCTAGATTGGACTGGGGCGCTGTGGTGAGAGGGCACGGGCTGGTTCGGTTGGATATGCTCAACATCTTGGGTAACGTCATGCTAGGAGCCCTGGGCCTGAGACTTCTCCCAGTTACGCTTCAAGGTGCGGTAGTCATGCTTTAGCTCAACGCTCCTGGTATGAAGATGTTCATATTTCTTGGACATCTTGGCGACACTAGCTCGGAGGCGCTCTACCTTTGCCTGGATATTGGTATTTGCTGAAGGTTTCCTTTGGGAGGTGTCCCCCCGGGGGGTATGGTGCTGAGTATCTTGGCTATCCTCGGTCAGCATAGCTGAGCGTGGGGTGAAGAAGAGGTGACGGGGCTTGATTGGAAAAGGAGCCAACTGGGCTGGTAGAGATAAATGAGATAAAAGTATCGATTCTCACAGACGGCGCCAAACTGTTGATGCTCTTTTTGAAAGGTCAACTTAGAGAGCAGTGGATTGTCTTCAGCAGTGGAGAAGATGAGGACCTTCGACAAGAGGCTAGCCTGCAGAAGATAAAGTGGGAGAAGCAATCGTTAAGCTTCGGACATCGGTGTGGTGCCGGCCAAAGGCTCTCCAATGCTTAAGTCAGCTAAGAGTAGTAACTTTGACAGAGTAACAATAAAAGTAATAAAGTAGTTATCTTTTTTACTTGGGTATTGTTCCCTATTTATAGGGAAGTGAAAGTGGGAGGTTTGCACAAAGTTTCGATGTGGGACTTTGTGCAAGTTACTGTGGTGGTGACACGCGTCTTGGAGATTAGGTTCGGCAGTTTGTGAGCTTCGATAGGTGTCTGGCACCTCGAAAGAATGTCTTCCTTCGGCAGGGAAGAAGACATGTCTGCCTTAGTGCTAGTTGCTTTAATACTGGATATGCTCGGTTGATTATGGTGTAAACACTTCTTATATTGCCGCTTTGTGTCTTGTCTTTGATATATATATATATATATAGTCCCCTTCTATTGAGGGATTCTTCAAATAATTTATATATTTTTTATTTTTTTTTAAATCAACAATTACATATTTTATTAATTTTAAAGGGGTTTATAATTTTTTTAAATTATTTTTATAAACATTGAGAAATATAATTATTAAATTAGCTAAATTTGAAACGCAATGATAAATTATATTTCGGGCATAAATACATTGACCAAAAAGGTATTGAACTCACCCAAAAAAACACAGCCAAGAGTATGGGTGCAGATATTTGAAATTTGACTTGAGGCTCATAATATTCAGTGGTCATTTCATTTGGTACTTAATGAAATTATTATGGGGAGTGAGGACCATGCACAAGTGGTGGACACTGAGCAAATTGGTAGGGGAAGAAACTGCACTTGAACAAAGGGAAAACTCGTTTGGCTTTTTCTAGGAAAAATACAAGATTTGGAAACCCCCAAAAGCCATGGATTTTAACGTTTTCTGCTTTTTCACATTCATATATAACTCTTTTAGGGGGCATTTCCTATAAATAGAACTTTCATATTGTGTTCCATGTATGTTGTCAAATTCATTGGTGCAGGATAACTAATAAAGCATATTGTACAGTAAGGCAGTGATTTTTACACTCCACGTTTATTCTCATGCACTCTTTCTTCCTTTTAAAAGTATTTTATATCATTTTCTTGTTTACATTCTGATTTATGCTTTTTTTAAAAAAAAATAAATTAAACTAATCATTTTTACGTTGACTGGGTTATTGCAGTGAGATGTGAGACTACCATCGGACTCAGGGGTGTGGTTGGGTAATTTTTATGCACTCACAAGTAGAGTGCATAAGGATAACATAGGAGTGTACTAATGAGGTGTTAGTTGGATTGGGTAATGCCTTTGGTTTGATCCCAAATGGATGAGAAAAACTCTCATGGAACGAGGATAGCACTTTTTGTTATATTTGGCCAATAACGCAATGACACGTAGGATAACTTTTCCACTTATCATTGTGTCATTGGCCAAGGATAGCAATACAGTGTTATTCCCATTATAGGTAAGTTTTTTCTCAAGTGGACGTGAGTTCAAGTCCTTATGGTACCCGTGCATATGACTTTCTCCTCTCATTCCTAACTTTGACCCCAAAAAAAGAAAGTAAAAGGATAACAAAGGAGTGTTCAAGTTTATTGAAAATTAAAGGATAAAATTGGTAAGACAAGCTACAAAAACAATTAATTCGAGTTTGGTGGCCTTAGGGGAGTCTTCATTTATTAACAGTATCTGGCTAGAAAAAAGAAAATTTGAGTTTGTAGAAATTGATAATTAGATAAATTTATTTTGAAAGTGAACTTTATTGTATCTCAAAATTAGAAATTATGGGATTGGCTAAATTAATGAAAAGTTTTTTTTTTTTTTTTTTTCTCTATTGGAGCTTGGCTAAAGTTGAGCATTGTGGATGAGAAACCATCTCATTCATTGCATTTGCAAGCCTAGGACGAGGTAGGAGGTCCCCCACCCTCCTTGTCGCCCATGCTTTCTTGGTATTTAATTCCTTCTACTATACGGCAGATGATATCTTTTTACTGTAGAGCGGCGGCTTTTTAGTCTGTCTCTGCAACTTGGCTTCACACTCAATAATGAAACATCACTTTAAAAAATGAAAAGGAAAAGCCAACTCTAAATAATTATGTTTAATATATATCCATCAACAGTCACAGTCACTTCACGTCAAGGCCGAAGCCATAGAAGTGCAAGGAGGTGCAATACAGCTGCATTCTTTACTCATCCAAAAAACCCTTGGAGGTGTCAGAATTTGCTCCTTTGCTAGTGCCTACTAACTGTTCGAGTAAACGCCTCATCAAACATCTTCTTTTGTTGCGCGCAATACGAGATCCTTCAAATAAGTGAGGGAAACCCTTATAGGGCCCACTCCACATTGTATTTTACTAATACAAACCATCTACATTTTAGATCATCTCTGTAAAAAAAAAATCACTTGAATTCGATATCATTTGACCACTCGATTGAGTTATTGAAATTTTAGTACTTTCTTGAAGTACCGTGTTCATTAATTTTGTAGCATATAATTGGATGTCAAAAAGATTTTCGATTTGTCTAATTTTTTGCGAAGATGATCTATGAATATAAATTTAAAAAATAGATGATTTGGATTATTGATATTATTTTTTTGTAGAGGACATTAAATGGTGTTTTCTCAAATAAACACTATTTGAGGGATTGGGAGCTCAGCCGTTGAATCTCGAGGTATGATCAATTATGATTTGTTTGTTTAATTGATAATTTGATATGCATTTTGATTAAATTAATTGATATTAATTTTCGTTAGATGAATTGATATTGATTTTTGTTATATTGAAAATCCTTAAATGAGGGGCGCGATATACACACACACACACCCATACAACCTGTGGATCCGCCATTGCTTCACACAAGCTCTTGGCTTAATGGTGAAAAATGGTCGAAGCTCGAATTTTCGTTTTTCAATAAAAAAATTATAATAATAAGTAAAGAAAACACCAAAAATTTGAAATCACATGACGAACATTGGATCAGTATCTCGAGCCAACTCGGCAAGTTCTGGAAGCCGAGCCGAGTGAAGCCGACGGACCAGTGCAAAATCTGCTGGTTATTAACTCTCACTCATGTGACGTCATCGTGTCAGGAGTCGATGAGGTCACGACATCTAACCAGGGACTTGGATGATGCCACGTGGTCGAATTATTGGCACACTTATGGCACCGAAATCCCGCGCAAGTGCACGTTTCCCACGCTCTTCTAAGCGCGTGTTGTTGTTACATTTTCGAAGGCATCTGTGAGAAAATTGTTTCAAACGCGCATGGGGCGATTGGGGCAAGTACCAATTTGGCACCCCCTATGATTTTTTGGTTAGTTTCCAATTGAATACGTCCATCAAAACGTCCACTTGATTTTTATTTTCATTTTCCTTTTAATTGTCCTTCACTTTCTCTCTATTTATCCATCCAAACACTTTCTTTCCGGGAAAGTCCAGGAAAATAATAACCTACTTAACCCCCCCTCATCATAATCACCAACTTATACACACAAAAAACTCTTTTTAGCTGAAGCACTTTTGTCCACTAGAAATGAACAACAATTCTACCCAACAAAGCAATGGCCATGGCCACCAAATTTCCAAGCCCAAAAAAAAAGGCAAAACCAAGAAGCAGGGGATCAAAGTGGTTTACATCTCCAACCCAATGAAGGTGAGGACGAGTGCCTCAGAATTCAGGGCTCTGGTTCAAGAGCTCACTGGCCAAGACTCTGAGCTCCCGGACCCAGCCAAGTTTTTGGAGCACTCATCTGCAGAAGACAACAATTCGACGGCCCAGATTGGTGGACATCATCATCTTCTTCGTCATCATGATGCATTGGATCTAGTGGTGGCTGATGCTGCTTCTCCTCCTGCTCAAGAGCAGCCTGCTGAGAGTTCAAGCTCAAATGTGAACACCCAATATCCTGATGATGAGCTTTATGATGATCTTTTTGTGCCTGAAATGATGGATAGCTTTGGGGGGTTTTTGCCCTCCAGTGTCTTGTATGGATCCTCTTAACTGCTCCTTTTGCTTAATGTTGATGTGTGCTTCAAAATTAAGCCACCCATATGCAATGTAATTTGGTAAGTTTTTCTTTTTCTTTTTCTTTTTCTTTTAATGGATTTACTAAGCTTATTTATAACTCTTGTGCTGTTTGTTGAATCTTAATTCTGCTAATTAATTATTTAATTGTCTCTTCTCTTTTTTTTTAATTGAATCTAAATATATCCATGTATATGTTGATAATGATAGTCTGTGGGATTTTGTTAGAATTTAAACAAAAGAACTAGGGGTTCAATAAATCACTTAGCTAGGTCTCAAATAAAAGCTTCACAGCCCTTCCAGTGCTGGCATGAAGATCAACGCTGGAACTCACTCACTCAGATATACATACATGTGTACATATATACATATATATATATATATATAATATTGCAGTGCTTGGCTACTTGCATTCGTGTGGTGATGGGTATAAAGGTACTAGAGCCTTTGAGTTTACGATATATATTTGTCCTTTACATATACTTTCCAAGGGTTCCTTTTCTACTTTTGGCTTGTTGTGTGATGATATGGTTTATCAGCCTTAATCGATGCTTTTAATTTATGTACCATAAGGATGTTTTACATCATGAGCAGGAACCATGAAATTGATGCACCAACGCACACGCATGAAATAAAATGTCTCTCTAATTAATCAGCAGAAAAGACAACTAATTATGAATTCAGCTCATGGATTAGAAACCACAGATTAGGATGTAAATGGTCAAAAAGTATCAAAAATTAAAACATCATGCCCAAAAAGTATCAAAAATTCAAGTCTGAGGGTAACCATCGCGATAAGTAGATGAGAGTCGTGTCTGATGTGACTATGAGACAAAATCAAGCATATCATGCCCAAAAAAAGTATCAAAAATTCCTCTTCATCATGCCTTTTTTTCTCTGCACATTTTTACCCTTTTCTAGTGATCCAACTGAGTTCATAGACATGTATTAGAAAGCAAAATGAGGGGAGAGAGAGGTCGTTCTCTACCTTGTGCCCCAAGATGCAAATATATAAGATTCTGCCCTAGGGAGGATACTATTAACACAGACATTTCTCCATTGGATGGAAGCGTAATCAACTTGAATTTCAAGTAATAATGGTAATTCTCCTAGAGGTAAAAAGAATTTATTTCATCTTTATTCTCACTTTCATGGAAGTTTTGCACATAACAATAACGAACTATATGAGTTTCTCCAATATCATTTTCTTTGAAAAAACTAAATCCAGCTATTAGAAGACAAACTGATTATAGAAGGCTGAGGCGGTTTACATGATATTAGATAATTTACTTTCTATTTCTGTTAGAATAATTTGGTTTACTAATGCGAAGCCTTGGGGCGTCGTTTTATAGCTAGCATAGATTGGTGTTATCAGCATTGATCTATACTAATCATATATGTTGCAGGATTTTTCTAAGCTTAAACCCATGTAGAATCCTAGAAAGGAATGCTTAAAATAGAGAATGCACGCAAGAGAGAGAGAGAGAGAGAGAGAGAGAGAGAGAGCTTTTCAACAATGTTCTTTGATTTTTGATAAATTTATGTCAATCTGCTCATTATCAAAGAGAACTCCATCAACTTCAAAAAATAGGCACATATTGAAATAAACCAGAAATATCTCTAAGAATGTGATCATAAACCAAAAAAGTAGCGTAATATTTCCTCTTCGCCTCCCAAGGCATCTCGTCCTATTCGACGTAAGAGCTAGCATATATTAGTGCAATTATGCTCATTTTAGGGCATTTACAACATTTTTGAGGTCCGTCGTCATTTTGATTTGAGCTTTATCTGTATTTCTTTTGGGCTCTAGCTCTCAAACTTTGGACTCTTATGAGTACTGTCTTAGGGGGAGCTTATTCAAGCAAATATTTCTTCAATACGAAAGAGTTATGTTATTCTTGTAAAACTCTTTGTGAATTGAACATCTAAGGCTTTTTACCTAGATTGACCTTGGTCCCTTCATGCATTCATGTCATATGTAAAAATTTGTTTTATGTAAAAATATTGGCAAGTAAAAAAAAAAGGTTTTTCGGAACAATCATTTTCTCAAGATAATTTTTGGCAGCTTTTATTCCTTGCAGATCAAATAAGAAAACTTGATTTTATAAGATTTTAGTATGAAGTATATATTGACTTAATGTGCCATAAATTTTAGCCTAAATCATATTTTGCACTAATACCGATTTTTCATATTTTGATTTGGTGGGAATTTGATTTTCTAGTATTTTTATTTGAATCCAAATAAAGGGTACTTCCTTATTTACATTATTTAACTTAAGTAAATGGAGTAATATAAAAATAAATGAAAGTAAAAAGATAAAGACATTTACTTAAATGCTGAAAATAGAAATAAGGTAATTTGTACAATGTCGTTGTTTTGACGTCAGGAAAACAAAAACAAAGGAAGCACTGAGCGAAAGCAGCCTGCACCTGCCTGCTGTGCTACGCCCTCTGGAGCATTTCATCAAGCAGTTTGTGGGCAATTTGCAAGGTCAACATCTTTTCCTCCAAAGGTGGATTCCGGGCTTGAAAGGTCAATTCACCCCTCGTGCCCCTATATATATGTGGATTCACCCCTGCACACACACACACACACAATATATATATATATACACGTGAAAAAGTTTGGGGGCCATGTGCCATTCACACCCCAGGGTTGGGAGAAACACTTGTGTGGAACTAGGATAACACTATTTTGCTATCCCTAGCCAATTATGGTGTCAAGTGAAAAAATTATCACTAATTACATGTCTTGATTGATCGTATTTGGCTAGGGAAAAGAAAATCCGAGTTTGTAGAAATTGATAATTAGATAAATTTGTTTTGAGTGTGAACTTTGTTGTATCTCATAATTAGAAATTATAGAAATTATGGGATTGGCTAAATTAATGAAGTGTCAATATATTTAATTTTGTACCATTGGAGCATTGTGGATGAGAAACCATCTCATTCATTGCAATTGCAAGGTTAGGAGGCCCCCCACCCTTCTTGCGCCCGTGCCTTCTTGGTATTTAGTTCCTTCCACTATACGGCAGATGATATCTTTTTTCTGTAGAGCGCCGGCTTCTTAGTCTGTCTATGCAACTTGGCTTCACACACAATATTGAAACATCACTTAAAAAATGAAAAAGAAGAACCAACTCTAAATAATTTGCTTCCCTCTAATGTTAATTTATGTTTAATCTATATCCATCAATAGTCACAATCACTTCACACCAATGGCGAAGCCATAGACGTGCAAGGACGTGCAATGTAGTTGCACCCTCTCTTCGTTGAAAAAAGCTTTGGAGGTGTCGGAATTTGCCCCTCCACTAGTGCCCACCAACTGTTCGAGTAAACGCCTCATCAAACATCTTCTTTTGTCGTGGAGAACGTGCTTATATATATATAGGGAGCTTCAGTTTAGGGATCCCTCAAATACTTATTTGAGGAACACCCTTATAGGGCCCACTTCGTATTGTATTTCAGTAATCCAAACTGTCTATTTTTTAGGACCACTCAATTGAATTATTGAAAATTTAGTACTTTCTTGAAGCACCTTATTCATTGATTTTGTAGGACACGATTAGATATCGAAACGTTTCCGATTTGTCTAGTTTTTTGTGAGGACGATATATGAATGTAGACTTATAAACTAGATGGTTTGGATTGTTGAAATTTTTTTTGTAAGGGACCCTTAAGGGTGTCCTTCAAATAAAATTATTTGAGGGATCCCTCAAATAGTGTTATTTGAGGAATGGAGCGTTCAATCATTGGATCTCGAGGTATGATTTATTTGTTTAATTGATAATTTTATATGCATTTTGATTAGATTAATTGATATTAATTTTCGTTAGATGAATTTATATTGATTTTCGTTATAGTGAAAATCCTTAAATGAAGGGGGCGATAAACTCACACACCCTTACAACTCACACACAAATGCACATACCAGGCCTCGAACCCAACACCAACTTGGGGGGAGTCAATTGCCCCAAATCACTACACTAATGAGGCACCGATTAGCCCTTTTCAATTTTGCCCTTATCCTGAAAAAGTTGTGGATCTGCCATTGCTTCACACTCTTGGCTTAATGGTGAAAAATGGTCGAAGCTCGAATTTTTATTTTCTCAATAAAAAATTATAATAATAAGTAAAGAAAACACTGAAATTATGAAATCACATGATGAACATTGGATCAGTACCAGGGGGAAACAGTGTTCCTTGATTTTTGCCGGATCTATGTCAATCTGCTATTCTTTGGCAGTTGTTTTTTCTCTACCACTAATTTGGGCTGGTTTTGGTTGTGCCTCATCTTGTTGTTGTTTGGTTATGGTATATTTACTGTTCATTAGTGCATTGGGCCCACGGAATAACTAGGTAGCACTCTCTATGTCATGTCATTGAGAAAGATTAGCGGCAGTTGTTATTCCTTTCGTTTAGTTTTTTAGTTTTGGTCTAGTTTGTTCAATCAAGTCTAGAAATTTTATGAGTTCTTTGTATTTTTTTTTCTTTCATAATTCCAAAAACTTGGTTAAGTTTGTTGAGTGTTAGTAGTCTCTTTAGGAGAGTCATGCCGATTAGTGATCGGTTTGTCCTTGATGTAATTGGACTAAATATGGGGAAACTATGGCGGCAGATGTGAACCCTGAGTCCAACAATAGAAAAGGGGTATAGAAAATTTATTTTTTTAGAGTGATTCTCTCCAAATTATTTCAGTTGTTGACTTAGGTCACTTGGAAAGGTTTTACATATGTTCGTTGTATGGTAAATGAGATAGCTCCCTTTACAGTCTTTGTCATTTGTACCATTTTTTCCTGTTGATCAAATGAATTTCTCTCGCCTTTACTCTCACCTTTATAAATAAAATAAAATAAAAATAAAAAGCAAAGTTGCAGTTATCTACGGGTATACTAGGAAGTATGTTACGCATTTAACACACACACACACACACACACACACATATATATATGTGAAAACAGTTTGGGGACCTGTGTTGTGGCACCACGCACAACTTAGGCTAGGAGAAATACTTGTGTAGAATGAGGATAGTACTATTTTGTTATTCTTGGCCAATCACAATGCCAAGTAGAAAAATTATCACTTGTGACATACCGTGATTGACTAACGACAGCAAAATAGTACCATCCTCATCTCACACAAGTATATATAGGCTAGGTGGTAGCCATATTTCTCTTTAAAGAAAGATGCCTCAAGTTTTAGTTTCCCTATAATACTTAACTAATCATTATATAAACAACAAAAACTGACAAATTGTATTCGATAAATTCAAGGTTTGACATGATTAAAACCCATTAAATCAAATTAGATATCCTAAAAGAGAAGGGTTAAATCCTAAAACTTATGATTGAACCCAAAAAAAAAGTATTTTTTTTAAAGTTTTAACGTAGTGTTCAGATCGACGGAGGAACCAAATCATGTCACGTTTGGATGAAGTATATGTATCGCCCACGTTTGCAATAGTTTTTTCTTCTTATTATTTTCTAAGCTGTCCACGCAGATCAAATTTCTATATTCATGTTTGTTGTTCTATATGTTTTTATGTTATTTTGTTTGGGAGGTGCAGTGGTACTCTTTTTCCTAGACCGAATTTTCCTCCTATGAGCATTTTTTATGAAAAAGTTTGAACAAGGCCAAATTGTCGGCCTCCATTTGTTGTAAACGCTTCTTGTTTGTAGTTGACAATTATGAATGAAGTCTTCTATTTTCATTATATATAAAAAGTTAGTAGTTGTTTAGCATATATGTAAAGTCACGATTTATTAAGGGGGATGTATACAAATTAGTAGTTGTTTAGAATAACAAATTAAGGGGAATGTATTTAATTAAGATTTTAAATGAGTTATAAAGTTGATGGAGTTTAATTGAGTTTGACTGTATTTCACAAACTCCACATAAATTTTGACTGAATTCGTGTATAAATTTTAATTGAGTTTTTTAGATTAGTTATTATTGATTTTAATGGAGTTATAAAAAAAAAATATCAAAAAATAAAATATTTGTAAAACAAATAATGCAAAAAAAAAAAAAAAAAAAAAAAAAAAAAAAAAAAAAAAGGTGACAACGGCAGTAGTGGTGGTGGCAGTGGTGGTGAGGGTGGCGGTGGAGCTAGTGGCGCTAGGGGTGGGGGCGGTGGTGGTGGTGGTGACATTGGTGAGGGTGGCGGTGCTAGTGGTTGTGGCTGTGGTGGTGGTGGTAGTAGAGGTAGTGAAATAATATTTTGACAATAACAATAATATATCTATCAAAATCTCTTTGGGGAAGCAAAGATTTGTCATGACCAAAAATTAGTTTAGAATCAAACGAAATCCGCCACTTTTTGTATTTCCTTAAAAATCAATGAGTTTTTGCATACACTAAAACTTTTATTGAGTCTTTTAAAATCATGATTGAATACATAAAAATTTGGATGAAGTTTAAAATGTCTAAATTGAATACACCTAGAATTTTTTTGACTTTTATAAAATCGTGATTGAATACACCTTGACTGTTAAATTTCGTTAAAATGTTTTAAACTTTCAATTGAATACACCCCCTAAATTTATGTTCTGAAACATATTTTTTCCTTAGTAAAAGTAACAATAGTTCTTCAATCTTCTCTAATTAGATTTTATTTTGTATGTAAATTACTTTACCTATATATATTTTAAAAAATATATAATCTAACACATCAATTTTGTTAAACAAATTTACTTAGGTGGATCCTAGTCATCAAACTTAAGCTAAGAAAAATAAATGATTCATATGGGTATGGACTTCCCATGTAGAGGAAATTTCATACTCTTGAATAAGGCTAAGCGTTTTAGACAGAAAAACGGCCAAACCGGCTATAAAGCAGATTCGAACCCACATCCTCCAACTTCTCAACTCTTCAACATATCGCTACAGTAAGACCTTTACTTGTGTTATGGTTTTCTGATTAACATATTCATTGCTTCTCCCCTAAACTTTAAAAAAATTATTAGCAGCCGCCCTCTCTCTCTCTCTCTCTCTCTCTCTCTCTCTCTCTCTCTCTCTCTCTCTCTCTCTCTCTCTCTCCGCACACTTTATCTTCATCTTTTCTAATTATTGCCTTGCACTCGCTCCTATCCTTTCCTTCTCACGCGGCTCTCCTTTTCCTTCTTTTTTCCTCATCTCTCCCTCAGCCCTCAGATCAGTGGCGGATCTAGAACTCTCAAGTAATAGGGTCATAGTGTAAAAATGTCGAAATTTTTTTAGGACAAACTGTTGAGGCATTTTTTTAAGACAAATGAGTCATTTTCTATTCAATTATTTAAAATTAATATAAAACTAATAATAATTTTTATTTAAAAAAAATACAGGCAAACACGCACACTAATACTCTACCATCAACCCCAACCTACCCTAGAAACCCTCTATCTAATACCCGAAAGAAGAAGGGTTTTTGAAGACTTTATGGATATTTGTTGGGATTTCATTGTGCATATTTATAGCTTGCACGGAGGTAGAACAGGTGTGAAAACTAGAGTGTGGAAACACAATATTTTCATGTGTTGTTTCTTGATTTCAAGAAGGAGCAGGGGATAAATTCAAATATGTTGAAGCTTCAAGAATCGAAGGGAACTCCATTTTTTATTGATTTATGCTTATATTTTCTTTCTAGTTTGCTTTTGCTTTCAGATTGAAGGACATCCTGGTTTAAATGGTAAGGAAAGCATTAGACATCGTCCTTGAATAACGAAAGCATGTTGGGATCTCATCCCTTGTTCCTAGCACCCATGTTTTCTGGCTTTCCATCTCGACCCACTTAATTATAAAAAAGAAAAAAAAGAAAAAAGAAAGATGGAAAAGAAAGAAAAAAGAAAAATATAACAATATCAATTAAAAAAATATTTATCAACAAAAAATATAATTTTTTTTTTTTTTTTTTTTTTTTTTTTTTTTGGGTTGATGATGAAGTATCAAAGACAGAAAGATACGCTGGGCATTTTTTGTTTTGTTTTGTTTTTTCAGACCTAATCGAAAACGACGTTGTTTTGGCCAGGTCATTTAAAAAAATTTCCCTTTAAAAAAAAAAAAAAAAAAAAAAAAAAAAAAAAAAAGAAGTGCGTTGTGCTGCGCTCACAGCCTTCTCCTTCAGCCAATTCATCGAGCACTTGGTATGCAGCTCCAAGAGGTCGCACCAGCAGCTCCAAGGGACCTCCAAGCCTATTTACATGGCTTCCAAGAGGTTGTGCGACCCCACTGTGGCTCCGACACTTCCCCAGATATGCTCAATGGTGAGAAAGCGTTGCCACCAGTATCGCGTGGCTAGATCTTATGATCTACTCTCACTCCTCTCCTTATCATTCTCTCTATGTCTAGTACGAAGCTATCAACGTCCAAAACAAGAATCGAGCCTCACCGAACTATTCGTTCGGTGAACCGGTGGCCTCTGCTTTTTGAGGCGTGGTGGTGCGACATCGGCTTTGAGTTTCCCTCTACCGAGGAGATTGATTCAACATACGATTTTTGCTCAACACCGAATCGAACCAAACGAGCCCACCCATACTTGGCTCACCTTGGGAAATTTTTTCCCCCCACTTGGGAAAATATTTAATTTAGTTTTTTTTTAAAACTAACTTAACCATGTTATTATTTTTAAATACAACTTTTGACCCTTAAAAAATTTAGGTTTTTTAGGTTTTAGACATAAACAAATTTTCACTTTTGGAAAAAGCCAAAGCTTTTTCAAAAAAGACAAAAAAACCTCTCAACTTTCAAATCAAAGACATGCAAATGTATTGGATTCCTTAGAAAATCTAAAAATAAATAAGGGCATTTTTGTCCATTTTTGCTTCTTTTAAAATTTTTCTCTCTCCTTTTGCTTTTTCCAAAATGTCCCAAAAAACTTTTCATATTAATAATTTTAATAATAATAAATCGAGGGTATTGCTAAAAAAATTTAACTTTTCATTCCTAATACTGCACTAACCAAATGGGAGAAAATAACATTTCATAGTCTTCATTTCTGAGTGTTTCCAAACATGGGAATGAATATATCCTTCATTCCCATATCATGGGAATAGAAATGGGAAGTTTATTCTCAAGAAGTTAAATCCGCGAGCTAAACATACTAGTCCATATAAGAAATAAAGAAGAGAAAACTCGCAAAAGGTTTGTAGCTTAAGTGATCAAGAACATTTATCCCTTCAATTTCCCCATCCCAATATCACTTTGTATAAATAAATAAATAAAACTCAAATTTTCTCTCTTAATATGAGGATCCCAAGGAGCATTAAATAAACTTCTCTCTTCCTCTTAATATTTGGATTTCAAGTGAATCTCAGTCCAGTACGTTTGAATTCAGAAATCCACCCAATTGTGTATTTATTTGTCCATTTAATAAATTGTCAGAAAAACCTAACAACAAAACTAAAGCTGGCTATAAAGCCGTTGCCTTATGGCTTGTTCTGGGCTTAGCATCCTTTGGTTTAATGTACTCGTTTATTCAACAACAACAAAAAGTACAGCTGACATCAGCCGAAAAAAATAATGTCAGCAGTATGAAAAGAACTCTAATAGCAATGGCTACGAATTGGAACCACACCTTAGGTTTGGGCTTGTGTAATAGGCTTTTTATCACAAAACGTTCTTAAGGTTCGTGAAATTATCATATTACGTCTTTTATGTTTTTTTGTGTTATTTGTGATCCTTAAAGTTAATATGTGTGCTCACAAATAGTACTTACCATCAGGTTCCATCCAAAAATCTGTTAAATTGATGACATCACACACATGTGAGTCTCACATATCTAATGATATGACGTCACGTGGATTAAATACAAAAATAATTTTTGAAAATTATAAACCATTAAAAAAAACTTTAAAGAAAAGAAAATAATTAAAAATTAAAAATAAAATCACCACATCCTCCATTGTACCAAACCCCCAAAATATATTATTTTAATAGATTTTTAGACGAAACTTGACGGCAATGACTATTTGTGAGCACACACATTAACCTAAGGACCACAACAAATGATACAAAAAACATAAAAGACGCAACATGATAATTTCACAATCCTCAAAAATATTTTGTGATAAAATGCTTATGTGATATGATATTATATGAGATGCTTTCTTTGTGTTTGATATTTTAAATGGATTGCTTCTTTTGTCCATGACCATCTTCTTCAGGAACAGTTTTGACGTGACCCAAATCCAATTACAATATAAGTCACTATCTATACATAAATTATTTAAATTGGAATAAAAAAAATCACAAATTAGCTAACACGTGACACGTCTACTGGTGGGAATTTGATCTGATGAAAAATCTGTGTACGTACGGACTATACCGAACAGATTATTTGGTTTGATTTCGTCAAATTATTATTTTTAAATTAAAATTTCTTCCAATGCGTACCGAACAAAAATTTAAAAATAAGGTTAAATAGTTTTTTGGTTATTGAGAAAAAAAATTTAGTCAAATTAGTCACTATGTTTTCCAAAATTTACAATTTATAGACATTCTGGTAAGTGTAGTTTTTATTCTAATTTTTTTAGGAAGCACATTTAGTTTCTTCCTCTAACTCAATGAGTTAGGGTATTTTAATTTTTTTAGGAAGCACATTCAGCCTTCACCCTAATTCGTTGAGTTAGATGAAGGCTGAAGATGCTTTCTATAAAAATAAAAATAAAAACCTGTACTAAACAAAAGATAACGAAATGTCTATAAATTGTAAACTTTGGGAAACAAAGTGACTAATTTGGCTAAATTTTGTTCTTAGTAACCAAATTGAATTTTTGGGTGAAACCCTGTGACAAAAAAAAAGTATTTAACCAGTAAACAAATATGGTAAATACCTTTTTGGTCACTGCATTTTACACAAAAATTCAATTTGGTCACTGAGAAATTTTTTTAGCAAAATTTGTCACTGTATTACGCAAAGTTTACAATTTGTAGACATTCTATTATCTTCCGTTAACTTCTTTTAAGTGTAGTTTTTATTTTTTATGTTTTTACGAGGTGGGGTATATTGTGTTTTATGGTTTAACAAATTGGGGAAAATTTTGAGTTGAAATCAGAATTGTGAGGTATAAGGTCATAGATTGGATGCTATATTGAAACTTGAATCAATTGAGTGAAAAGTGTATTGTGACTTCATATGGCAATGAGACGTAATCAAGGTGATAGAGCACCAAAATATATTGGAAAGTTGTTGATTTCATTTTAATTTGATTTGCCCTTTTTATTTTCCTTGTACCTCAAAATTTCAATTTCAACCCAAGATTTCTCTCAATATTTTAACCCCTAATAGCACAACATACCCTAACTCATTGAGTTAGAGGAAGAAGTCTAAAGGTGCTTCATAAAAAAAATAAAAATAAAAACTATAAAGATAACGGAATGTCTATAAATTGTAAACTTTGGAAAACAGTCACCAATTTGGATAAATGTTTTTCTCAGTGACCAAATTGAATTTCCATGTAAAACCCATAGACCAAAAAAGTATTTAACCCTTAAAAAAATATTATATTTTTAATTTTAGTATATGTGTCAACGTATTTAATTGGTTGCATGAGGAGCCATTATACACAACAGATTATCCCACAACCCTCCTTGTCCCTTTTTTCTATCACATAAATAAGTACTTAATATGTTTTTTTTCTCCGTTTGACAAATGAAAGGGAGATTGCATTCATAAATCACGCCACAAAGGCAACAAAAATACAACTACCACAATGTCCTGGACAACTACCCACAAAGGGTTACAACCAATACAAATAGATTCAATGACAACATTGAACTCATATGGCATGCCTTAACTTAGGGTTATAACTAATAACCAATACAGAGGGATCCAACAGCAATATCAAACTCATACGGTATATCTCCACTCAAAGTCACACATAACCAAAGACAGGAGTTAATGCACTTATTACAACACAAACAACTCCCACCCTCACAAGTCTGGTCAAAAAAATAGAGAAGGGCATAAATAATTAATGCACTTATTTTTATAAGAGAAGCTTATTTGAACTCATTTTTCAGCCCCTTTATTTATTACACATTATACACGGAATTTCTACTCTATCCCGGAGGGCATGACCGCAATTCACATGGTCGTGGTTATTAACGGATATGTTTTGCACATCATGTTGTTTTAGTGCTTTTATTATTAAATTACTCATCATAACCAAATTTAGTCTTATTCAACCAATAAATAAAAATTTTAAAAATGCGCCAGTAAAAATTCTATACCCTTAATAAAAATAAAAGGGTAATGCTAGGAACACCAAATTTGTGTACCAAATTTGAATTCCAAATTATGTGTATGCACCAAATTTGGATCCCAAATTATGTGGCATATTCCGCCTCATCAATACTTAATAAACCTATTCCAATTTGGATTCTGTTGTAAAATAGGCAAAGTATGAAAGTACCATTGAATATTATGGTGGAATTGTATTTGCTCTTGTAGTTTTACACTGACAAAATTTTCTCTCTCAGATAAAGCTTTCTAACTCTCAAATTTCTCTCTCTCTTTTCTCTTCAGATTAGTGTGTCTCAAAGCCTGAAGATTGTCTCTATTTATAGGTAGATGATATATGCTTTACAACCAGAGCGTTCACTCTACAACATTAACTCATAATTGCTTCTTACTATTTGTAAATAGTGACTAAGCCTATATGTCTTCAACTTTTCGTAAAACATGGTATTTCACTCAATATTTCTCCTCATTTTCAACATGTGGGTCATCCATCATTTACAACACTCCCTCTTGGATGCCTACAAGTCTCTTGATTGGTTGCCTCATTAAATCCTTGCTCGGAAAAACCCAGTGGGAAAAAACCTAAGCGAAAGGAAAAGAGTACAACTTCATTTGGGACATTAGAACTATGTTGAATGCACTCATGTTGCCTCATTAAAAACTTGCTAGGAAAACCAAGTGGGAAAAATCCTAGTCAAAAGAAAAAGATTACAACGCGCATATGTCTTGTGTTAGAGGACTCTTGAATGCTCCCCCTGATTTTGCATGCTTCAATTCGGTTGCTTGCAAAGTCGACGTAATCCGATACCATGCGCTAGCTTTTGGATATACATTTAGGCAAAGATTTGGTGAATAGGTCTGCCAGGTTATCGCTTGAACGGATTTTTCTGACTTTGATTTCTTGACTCTTCTGAAGCTTGTGTGTGTAGAAAAACTTTAGTGATATGTGCTTAGTCTTGTCACCCTTGATGTATCCTCTTTTTATCTAAGCAATGCAAGTTGCATTGTCTTCATTCAGGATGGTTGGAGTCTCTATTGTTGACGATAGGGCACATGTGCTCTGGATGTAATGGATCACTGACCTTAACCAAACATATTCACGACTAGCTTCATGGAGGGCAAGTATTTCTGAGTGATTGGAAGATGTAGCGACCAACGTTTGTTTTATTGAGCTCCATGAGATTGCAGTACCTCCACATATAAACACATACCTAGTTTGTGAGCGACCTTTATGCTGATCAAAGAGGTACCCTGCATCAGCATATCCAACAAAACTCGGGGTATTGGTCCATTCACTGGAATATAATAAGCCCATGTTTGTTGTCCCACGAAGATATTGTAAAATATTTTTTATGCCTTTCCAATGTCGGCTTGTTGGGGCGGCCGGAGCTGTATCTTGCATACAAATTTCTTGAAAATGATATTTTTGGTATGGTACATTGTGCTAAGTACAATAAAGCACCTATTGCACTAAGGTATGCTACTTCTGGACTAAGGACCATTTCATCATCCCCTTTTGGAAGATATGGATCTTTCTTAGTACCAAGGGACCGAATGACCATTAGAGTGCTAAGTGGATGAGCTTTGTCCATGCCAAATCGCTTCAATACTTTTTTAGTATAAGTTGATTGATGGACCAAAATCCCACTAGCACTATGCTCAATCTGCAAGTCGAGACAATATTTTGTCTTTCCAAGGTCTTTCATCTCAAATTTATGTTTGATATAATCAGCAGTCTTTTGGAGCTCTTCAAGAGTTCCGACTAGATTCATGTTAGCGACATATACTACCACTATCGCAAATTCAGACTTTGATTTCTTAATAAACACACATGGGCAAATAGGATCATTTTCGTATCCTTTCTTAAGTAAATATTTACTAAGATGATTATACCACATTCCCATATTGCTTTAGCCCATACAATGATCGTCTCAATTTAATTGAGAACATGCCTCATGGTTTATTCCTCGTTGTTTTAGGCAGCTTAAGTCCTTCTGGGACTTTCATATATATATATATATATATATATATATATATCTATATCCAATTCTCCATACAAATATGCGGTAATGAAATCCATAAGTCTCATGTCAAGTTTTTTTAAAACTGCCAAACTCATTAAGTAACGAATGTAATTGCATCCATAACAGGAGAGTATGTTTCTTCATAATCAATCTTAGGACTTTGTGAAAAACCTTACTTAAAGAGTTGCGCTTTATACCTTGCGATCTCATTTTCTCATTGCCCTTTCTTGTAAATACCCATTTGTAACCTATAGGATTCACATTGGGTGGAGTTGTTGCAATAGGTTCAAAAACATTCCTTTTTTCAAAAGAATTTAATTCTGCCTGGATTGCATCTTTTCACTTGGACCAATCTTGTCTCTGTGTGCATTCATCAGTAGAGCGAGGCTTAATATCGCCATCTTTTGTGATCTTAGTAGCCATTGAGAATGAAAATATATCATCAATGGTCATCTCATTTCTATTCCACAATTCATTAGTTGATGCATAATTTATGGAGATTTCTTGACTTTCAGGTACCATTACCACTTCAGGAGCATTTGTCTCACCAAAGACATTTCCTTTTCAGGAAGTACCTGTGCCTCTTCGGGGGCATTTGAATCATGAATTGTGGGTTCTCCATTCATTTCATTTGAATTCAATTTGGCCATCGAGATCCTCTTTTAAGGAATTGAATCCTTTGACCTAGTGGCCTGCCACGCTTTAGGCATGCAATAGATGAATCATTTGCTGGCACATTGTTTTGCCCATTATGGACATCAATCCTTGCAGGTGCATTTGCAGTTGGGATATGTGATTTTGTCACTTTTGTTGCATCATTAAATGCATTTGGCATTTGATTGGCAATACTTTGAAGATGAACGATCCTCCTCACTTTGTTTTCTCATTGAGCGATACGAGGATCAAGATGAGACAAAGTGGGTATATCCCACGATAATTCACGTCGTTCTTCAAGAACGAATTTGCCTTCTTGTTCTTCAGGAACAGATTTTTCTTCCCCTAATGGTGGGAAAATGGTCTCATCAAAATAACAATCAGCAAACCGCGTGGTAAAGATATCACCATTCAGGGGCTCCAAATATCGAATGATAGAAGGTGAATTAAATCTAACATAAATTCCCAATTTGCGTTCAGGACCCATCTTAGTACGTTGCGATGGTACAATAGGCACATAAACCGCACAACCAAAAACTCTTAAATGTGAAATGTTTGGCTAATTATCAAACATGAGTTGTATTGGAGAATATTGATTGTTAGGAATGGACCTCAACTGCACCAGTGATACTGCATGTAAAATGACATATCCCCAAATAGAAATTGGCAACTTTGTCTTCATGAGCAAAGTGCGAGTTATCAATTGAAGACGCTTAATCAAAGCTTCTACCAAACCATTTTGAATATGAACATGAGGAATGGGATGTTCAATGTCAATGCCTATTGACATGCAGTAGTCATCAAAAGTCTAAAATGTAAATTCACCAGCATTATTGAGCTGAATTGACTTAGTGGGATAATCTGGGAATTGGGCTCGTAATTTAATTATCTAAGCCAAGAGCCTAGCAAATGCCATATTCCGAGGCGACAAAAGGAAAACATGTGACCATCGTATAGATGCATTAGCCAAGACCATAATGTACCGAAATGGTCCACAAGGAGGATGAATAAGCCCACAAATGTCCCATTGGAAACTTTGTAAAAATTATGGGGATTGAACATCAACCTTTGGCTGAGATGACCTGATTACCAAATTCCTTTATGAACAAGCTTGGCAAGAGATATCACTTGACAACATAATGTGTTTAGTCAATAATGGATGTCCTTTAGAATTGATAATTATCCTATGCATCATGGTGGATCCAAGATGACCCAACCGGTCACGCCAAAGCTCAAAAGCATTTGAGTCAATGAACTTCTAGTTCATGACATTATGTGCCTCAATTGTCCGTATGGTTGTATAGTACAACCCTGATGAGAGTGCACAAAGCTTCTCCAGTATACGCTTCTGGGTATCACTAGAGGTAATGCAAAGATATTCCACATTTCTCTCTCTTCTTTTTTTTTTTTGGTTTTTTTTTTTCAATGTAGTAGCCATTCAAACTTATATCTTTAAAACTCAATAGATTCCTTTTGGAGTTAGATGATATAAAACATCTTGAATGAACAATATTGTTCCATTGGTAACATAACTTGGGTTGTTCCTGAGCCTTCAATCAGATTTGTAGGACCTGATATGATTGTTACCTTTGCTTTTGTAAGCATCAAGTTTGAGAAATACTTTCGATCTCAAAGGATCGTGTGAGTAGTCGCACTATCTGCAAGACAAATATCTTTGTTAGTGTTCTCGTTTTGGGGAACATCCATAATTTATATCCATGCCTTTAAATAAATAAAATAAGGTGAATCAATAAACAATTATTCAATGTAAAGGAAAAACACTGCCACTTTTATTAAATTGAAATGAAAATTAAAAACAATACTTTAGATAATGGAAGTGGTATATAAAGGGATTTAATCTAATTTCGACTCATAAACTTCATTCCCCTTTTTAATGATAAAGTCGGAAATATCCAGATGCATCATGTATAACTGATGCGATATTTCCAATGGGTCATGTGTGGCTGGTGGATCTGGTATATTCATTGAATCAACATGATCAATATAATTTGTCTCCACTTTCTTATCCTTAAGTGAAGATTGATAAAGATTCGCCAAATGCTTCGGCGTACTACAGGTACGCGCCCAATGTCACTTCACGCCATATATGTGACAAGCGCCCTTAACATTTCTAGGCATATGGCTTGTCTGAGCTTTCCCCTTATTCCGAGATGCAAATGGACACCATGGTATTTTCTATTTCCTTGCTAGCAGTCACGCCTGTCTCCTCGCCCATGTATGTGGGTACTGCCACGAGAGGAGGTGGCATTCACTTCCTTAGATACATCATTCACTTTAGAGAATGGTGCTGAGCCTATTGGGCGAGATTGGTGATTTTTCAAAAGAAGCTCATTATTTTGCTTGGCCAATAAGAGGCAAGATACCAATTCTAAGTACTTTGTAAAACCACTATTTTCAAGCATTTCCTCCTCAGATATATTCTCCCCACATAACTTCATTAGGGAGGTAATTCTGTGCATCACCGAGTTGTACTCAGACACTAACTTGAAATCTTGGAATCTCAAATGAGTCTACTCATAAATGGCTCTTGGGAGGATCACGTCTCTTGGTGATTGTACCTTTCGCATAAGGCTTTCTACAAAACCAGTGGGTAATCAACCACCATGTATTGGCTTTTTAGCGCTTCATGGATGTGACGGCGAAGAAAGATCATGGCCTTTGTGTTTTCTTCTGGGGATGCATCACTTTCATCCACAATGGTTCTTCCAAGGCTATTGGCCTACATATGGATCTTGGCATCTAGGACTCATGATAGATAGTTGTTCCCAGATATGTCCATTCCAGCTTTGCTATGTTTGCCATCTTCAAAAGAAAATGTGATGTATCAGAATTTTCAATGATCTATTTGCACTTTGTTAGTACTTTAGGTTCTCAACAAGATTTTATTTTTGAATTTCAGGCCAAAAATATTTTTGAATTAACCGAAACTTCAGGTCAGAGATTTGGAACATTAAGCCATTTCTTAACAAGAACTTCAGGTCCTTTAATTGTTTGAGGACTTCAGACCCCATTGTTCATATATATTAACTAATGAATTTTTTTTTCATAAAAATAAAGTACAGTAAAATAAAAAAATTAAATGGCATATTAATAAAATATTGTATATTGGGTTTACCACATCACGCATTGGTATTTACAAATGCTTAATTGCATCGTCCAAGTTGTGTATATCATTGTGGCATATATACATTTAGTAAAGAATAAGTTATATATTATGGGCAATATAACTGCGCCACTAAGATATAATAAAATAGGTTTTAAAATCACCACTCTTTTTATTACAATAATATATGTTACAACGTGATGGGGAATGGAACTACACCACCATAAAATAATAGAATGGGGGATAAAACTGCGCTGTTCCAAATTACAGTACGAAAAAAAAATTAAACAAACATGAATGAAATAACATAAAAATTGTGTGAATACAAAAAAGAAAGTTTGCATGTCGTCGTAGTAGTAAAGTGAGAGTAGACATATGACAGAGAGGAAACAGAGAAATAACCACATAATGTTTAGCTGGAAAAATTTAGAGGTAAAGAAAAGAGACTATTGTGCTAATAACGTGTTGTAAAATAGGCAGAGTATGAAAGTACCACTGAATATTAGGATGGAATTGTATTTGCTCTTTTGGTTTTACATTGATAGAATTTTCTCTATCAATGATATATGCTTTACAAGCAGAGCATTTACTCTACAACATTAACTCATAATTACTTCTTACTATTTGTAAATAATGACTAAGCCTATAAGTCTTCAACTTTCGGTAAAACATTAACATGGTATTTCATTCAATATTGCTCCTCATTTTCAACATGTGGGCCATCTATCATTTACAACCGAATCTAATTAGTTAATTTATTTTATGGACAAAATAAAAAAAACTTAAAACTTAAACAGAAAAAATAAAAATAAAAATCTGCGGCCACGTTCTTGAAACCATTGCCGTCGTCATACCGACGTACAACAGCCAAAGCTTTGCGTCTTTTGCTTGGGATTATTTTCAGGCTAAAGCACAGCAACCAAAGTTCTTCGTACAGCAGCCAAAGCTCTTCGCGGGGATTATTTGCGTCTTCTCCTTCTCCTCCTGGAAATTTATTAATTCTTTCTGAAAAAATCAACTTAGGCTCAAGAAACGACTCATTAATTCTTTCTGGAAATTTATTCTATGTTTTTGCAGTTAGATCGTACTATTTCTTCTCTGTTTTTGCCATTGGATTGCACCATGTTCTCCCTTATCCTTGAAGGAGAAAGAGAAGATGCAAATAATCCCAAAGAAGAGCTTTGGCTGCTGTAGTTTTGGGTGTTGTACATGGGTATGATGACGGCTAGGGTTTCAAGAACGCGGCTGCAGATTTTAATTTTTTTTACGGTTTAAATTTTAAGTTATTTTTTTTTAAAAAAAATTTTGCCCATAAAATAAATTAACTAATTAGAATCCAAGTTGGAATAAGTTTATTAATTATTGATAAGGTCGCATATGCCACATCATTTAGAATTCAAATTTGGTGCACAAATTTAGTGTCCCTTATTAAAAATAAACAAATCAAAAATTGGCCAAAGCATGGGGGACATGAAAACCTTACCCCTTAAAAAATCAAATAAAAAATACTTCAACCTAAAACCAGACAACTGAAAACTCAACGAACGCACTCCAAAGTTGGCCAACGCATCAACCACTCTATTACCCTCACGGTAGATATAAAAGAACACAGAATCTATATGCCACAAGCAATGCAGAATAAATCTCTAACCAAATATGGTGCCACTCCCGGATCTAAGCAACCCGAACTGCCTCAATCACGGCTAGGACCTCAACAGCCACAGTGCTTGGCAAATTACAGCAAAAGCACCCAAAACAAAACCAGCATGGTCTTGATGAGTTTACCAAAACCCACCCCCAAAGTGCTCCCAAGAACCGTCCATATTGACCTGGATCCAACACAGCATGGGAGGATGCCATGTCACTTTGGGATAAATTCAGGAGATGATGCCAAAAGGGGGGAGATACCCCACAAAGCAAAAATAGGCCACAAAGAAGGTGGGCGGGAAGGAAACAGAGAGGTAGAATCCCTAAAACAAGATTAAGTAGAAACCGAGTCAAATGCGAAAATTCTTACTATCACACCAAACTGCTAGCTGGTTTCCAATCTCTTTTTTCGCATGTTAGTAGGACATGTACATTTGCTAGTCGAGCTTGTATTAGCTCCTCCGACTTGTTTCTCTAAGGTGGCCGTCAAAGCTTTGGGGTATGCCTGAACCCTGAAAACGGAAAGGAAATGGCACTGAAATCAGTTTCAGTCAGGTGACTTCATAGTTAATCCTGGTGTGCGGATGTGTCAGACGAAATTACATGGTTCTCTTTCTTTGGGTTGCTCAGCATCTGATCTGCATACCACCTTGAGAAGGCCTCAAGAGCCTCTTTCATCCATTGATGCCTGCAAAGTCCTAAAGCCTCAGGAATAGTAAGCCAACTTCTTTGACGAGTATTCTGTTCTGGCCAAAACTGGAGCTCTTCCTTCACAAGCAAAGGGAACATGGCAGCTTTGCACAAACCTTCGGGACTCAACTCGTCCTGCAGAGTCTTGCTTTTAAAAAAGTAGTGCCCCAAAAAATCCTGAAACAGACAAATAATCAAAGATTGAAAGATAAGGAACTGTTGTCAGAAAGAAGTCCTTTTCTGACCATAAGGCATAAAGTCATCTTTGCAAGCAATAATTATATTCAGTCCAGAAGCAGTTTTGGGAGTGGGAAGGGAAAGGGCAATCAAAATCAGAGAACAAATTTTCATATATCTTCCAAAGACACCCAAGAAAAAATGTTTAGCCCAATATCTATCTCACAATACTTTGTTGGCCATTACTTACTAGGAATGGTGGCAGGAAGAAAGGAATCCAGTATTACACTTTCAAAAGTCAGAAAAGCAGGGAAATAATACTGAAGAGTAAATAACACTTTCAAAACTCATGCTATGCTAGTCTATCTTCAAAAAATCTACATACGCATAGATAAACCTATTTATTAATTTAGAAACAGTACATGCTAAACTTGGACAATAAAATGGCATCAATCACATCGAGCTCATAATTCTATCCATGATCATTTCTTCATTGACTACCTGGTCATATTTCCATGAATACAATAGCTCATTACATTGTTTAACATCTATTTCATCCATTATAGACATCGTAATGATCATATAAAGTCTTTGCTCAATCAAGAAAGTGAATGCGAAACTGACAAACATATAACTGAAACATTCATGGTGTTCAACGACTTTACTGGCAGTACTAACATTAACTCATACTCACAGACAGGACAACACAATCCAATAACAAATATCCACACAGAAGAACTTAACCATGCACATATGAAAGAAAGAGGCAGTTCTTACCATTATATCCCCTCGTACTCCAGCTTCTTCTACAGCTTCACGTATTGCTGCTTCCTCAACGGTTTCATCATTTTCCCATCCACCCTATGATTTAAAATATATGTCATAATTGCAGGTATGACATATATAAATGATAGCTGATTCAAGTATTACCACTCATGCATCAAAATTGAACTCAATAGCAACCCTAGATTTCAGGCTTTGAATATATCACTGATGTCAGTGACAATTTAAAAGGACAAAACCTGTGCACAGCAGCAGAAAAATAAATTTTAGCCTATATTAAACAGAAGAAAACTGAAGTTACATGATAAATTGTTATGTAGGTGAGAAACGGAGATGCTTTTTAGATCAGAGTTGGATGGAGCATTTCCATTATCAACAAATGGTAGGGAGAAGAGAAGGCCTTATCACGTGAAGTCACTCAAAAAGTAAATGCAGGCTAGCATTGAATTGGTTTCTTTTGGAATGAATTATGTGTGGATTCACTCTAAACGGAAGGTATAGTTTTAAGATTTGTAAGTCATGGCTTCCTTTAAAGAATTAAAAGTGTGTAGCAGATAAAATTGAGGAGTCATACAAATTCACAAATTATAATACATCTAAGAGATTTCAATCATTAATCGATGGCAGCTAAAAAAATGTTGGAAAGGTATCTTGGGAGAGCAGTTCAAAGTGGTAATACATCTGAGATAGCTAGTTTTCCTTAACATCTTTGATTTGAAGTCTTTTTTCTGGGCAGGAGCCAGAAGGGACTGCAAAATGGAAATTCCAACGAAACAAATCATAGGTTTCACAGCTTTTTTTTTCCTAGGTGACTCATTTCACATGGAAAGCTCTAATGAAAAATACTCATCCTAGATTTCCATGCTTGAGAAAATATAGAAAATTTCTATAGTCATTTATATCCTTATCCACAGCAATTAAGACTCGTGTTTTTACAATTTTGGTGCTAGTTGGGTATGAAAATGAGTAAGCAGAAATTCGCATTTTCCCTGCCCCATACAAGAAAAAGTTCTTACACATTTCCAATCATCTATAATAGAGAGAGAGCGAGAGAGAGAGAGAGAGATCAAATCTAAATGTTTTTTTTGGAGTTTCTTGTAGAAAGAGAAATGAAAGAAGGATCCTAGTGTTTCTTTCACTAAGGTTGTTAGCATTTTTAAGTGCTTCTAGGTGCTGGCATTGTTACCTTTTGGGGCGGTCTTCATTTTCTACATCAGATGTAGTGGGGTTCCTTCATTTTTAAGTAAGATAAAACATTACTGCTGAAGGAGACATGTTGTGAGTTAAATTCCATCTTCTGTGCATTCACAACAGCTGAATGGAAACTCCAAAATAAAAACAGAAATATGGCAGTCATACAGTCAAGAGTGGTCATATATTATTGTTTTAAATTAAACAGCCATACAGTTAAGAGTGGTCATATATTATTGTTTTATATGCCTTTTACACATTCAATAGCCTTGAATATCGTATTAAGCTAGTAAATTTGTTCATAGATATTTGTGGCCAATATGGTTCCAGATCTATTTAATATGTGTGACACGCACACATAAATATAGATGAGAAACACATAAATATACGTATAGATGAGAAACACATAAATATAAGTACAGATGAGAAACACATAAATATAGATGAGAAACAAAGGACACCTCTTTAGCATGAAGTTATTAATATGTTTACACAAATTGTGTATGTAAAAGAATTAACAATGAAAGGAAATAAATTCTACCTTTGGAAAGACTAGCCCAGGTCCACTAGTTGAGTTGATCATTAGAACTTCGACAACCTTCTCATGTGTCCCATCACTATTTTCAACAAGATTTGTATACTTGAAGGGAATACACCTGTAAACAACTGAAATTAGATGAAGAGACATAAATAAACATATGCTCTCGATATAATTTGTGATATATGCTTGGCAGGGTAAGTTCTAAAAGAAATACATAATGTATATGACAAGATACAAAAGTTTGTCAACTCTTAAAGTAGCATAATCTGATATAGAATAGTTCTGAAAAAAGCTGATGCACAAAATAACTAGTTGTTAGCAACAAATTATGTACAGTACAGACACTGGCAAGGTCAACTGCAGTAACAATTACATACAGTACAGAAAGCATACATTTACCAACTCAGAACTCACCAAGTCCCAGCATTTGAGGGTCTGTAAGCATCAACCGTCTACAGAATGACAGATGATTGTGGCATGATCCAGTGTTGTTTAAAGATAATTGTGACATTTGAGAGTCTCTCTTTTCCTTTAGTTAGACAAATAACAAAAAAAATAAAATAAAAATAAAAATCTCTCAACGGGCGCTAAGGTTCTCATAAATTAACGATCCAGTCTCGTCTGAAGACTAATTCAAAATTTTGCGAAAAACCCACAAGCCAACCAGAAGTGGTTTAATAGAACTGCAACCCCTGGTTCTAAATTAGGAAAAATACCACTTTTCTTTTTAGTTTTATAAGTAAAAATTTGATAACACGTTAAGGAATAAGCAGAGTTCCAAAGACATAAAGCAGAGTTCCAGGAGCAGCAGTGATGCTTCTTATTAACAACAACCCAGTCTCACACTCACTCTCACTGTTATGAAATTTGGTTTTTATGGGTAAGAAATTTGGCAACGGGTGGAGGAATGAGCAGAGTTAGAAAGACCAGAATGCCTAATCTACAAAGGCTAGAATGCATATATATCGAACACCCTAACAAAAGCAACACCTTGGAACTTAGAAGCTGCGAATTGAAACATAAAATACACACAAACTCAGAACAACGAGACAGGAAGAGGCAGTGGTTATGATGCCATTGTCATCACAATCTTGGGTTTTCCAAACCCAACCAAGAAGACAGGCATAAAATTGCATTACCATGTTCACAAAAATTACCAGCATCAGTGAATCTAACGAGAAACATACCCCGAAACGAGGCGGTGACCGCCCTCGTACCGCTGCTGATGGCGGCCAGTGCGAGCCACCAAGGCTGACATTTGGCGCCCTCAAAAAGCCCAATTCGCTTCTGCTTGGGTTCTGGTGGTTGCGTGTGGCTATGGGGTTCGAGGTGCTTGGTGCTATAACCATAAGCTTCCAATTCCAAGCTACAATTGAACCATTGTTGTTTTTGTGTGTTGGGCTGATATTCCTATGCCACCAAATCCAAATATGCAAAAATGCCCAGCGAATGCCTTGCTGTCTTTCTGTCTTTATCTTTTTTTTCTTGAACAAATCTGCTGAGATATGTGAATGATGATGTGCTGTGGTTTCTCTCTACTTCTTCTCTTGTTCTTCAACCGCATCATCATCACTCTGCCATTGCACCGCCGTCAACCGACATAGACCCTCTTTTTCCTATTTATGTCGGTTGTTTTTGGGTCGCTTGGAGCTAGTCGGTTAAAAAGAGGCTCTATTTCTCTCTCGATTTCTCTCGTACAAATAACCGCTTAATTACACCAATGTACCCTAAAATTCTATTAAATCTCACTTTACTCTTTCAAACTAAAATTTGTCAACTTTCATCCTTTCACCTAGATTTGGTGACCTATTTTGCCCCTGTCGTCAACTTCATCTAAAAATTTGTTAACTTTGATGACCTGACTAAGGTATTTGTGTAATAGGAGCTTTACTAATATACCCAAAATAGGAGCTTAATTTATAATAAAAAATTCACATAGAATGCACTTTAGAAACACACCCAAAATTCATTTACTATATAACAAATTGGTGTTGAAGTTCCTATAAATTATAGATCTGCAACTGATCAAGCCCAACAGAAAAAAAAACAAAAAAACAAAACTCAAAAAGCACCCAAAACAACCCCATCCCATTTTTATAAAAAAGCCCAAACATTATTTTTTTTCGGTTACAAAAAGCCCAAACATTTTACCATATCGAGAATCGTAACTTAACTTCAAGCAAGCGGCTTCATTAAACCCTCTCTTCATTTCACCGTCTTCATCAAAGCGTCTTCAGCATCTATGCAGACTGAAACTCCATAACCACCACCAAGCTTGATGTACTTTCAAAAACCAACATCACACACTGATCTCCACCTACAAAACCAACGCAAAATTTCAGAGAACAATTTCAACAAGAATACACTTCAAAGGTAAGACATTTACAAACCAAACCTTAACTGTAATGTTGATTAATTGCTATAAAGTTCCAATTTAGGGTAATAATAGTATTTTAGATTCAAATCAAGGATAAAATCTTGAAACTATATTGAATTTTCACTAGTGGACTGACTGCATAGGACCATAAAATAGTCGATTTTCAGCAACTCAAAAAGAAAGAGATATTTAGTCATATATCCATTCTTACCACTACTAGTTTATTGTCATGTTGATTAATAGATGTAAGTTTCAGTATAAGGTAATAACATTGCTTGTTTCCTATGAAATCTTATTTTTAATGCATGTCTATCACTATAAAGTTCCAGTCTAGGGTAATTACAGTATTTTAGATTCGAATCCATGACAAAATCTTGAAACTATAATGGATTTTCACTATTGGACTGATTGCATAGGACTATAAATAGTCGGCTTTCAACAACTCAAAAAAGAAAGAGATACTTAGTCATATACCCATCTTACCACTACTAGTTTACTGTCATGTTGATTATTGACTATAAAGTTCCAGTATATAGTAATAACACTGATTGTTTCCTATGAAATCCTATTTCTAATGCATGTTTACCACTGTGAAGTTCCAGTATAGGGTAATAACACTGCTAGATTCCTATGAAATCCTATTTCTAATGCATGCCTACCCCCTATAAAGTTCCAGTATAAGGTCATAACATTGCTAGTTTCCTATGAAATCCGATTTCTAATGCATTTCTACCACTGTAAAGTTCCAGTATAGGGTATTAACACTACTACTTTATTGTCGTGTTGATTCATGGCTGTCATGTTGCTATTTCTAATGCAGGTATACCAAAGAAATGATGAAGAAAAAACAAACCAGACCAATCTCCAAACCAAAAGGCAAATAGTCATCATCCAAAACAAAAACAAACAAGAAGCCAAACAAATGGGATGGCTCAAACTATGTGCAGATCAAGAGCAATATACTCACTTTTGCAACAACAATTGACAACATCAGAGACAGAGAGACAGACTTGAACAACAGAACAATGTCTTGACACTGCTATCGAAGACATCTTTTTGGACACTGATAGAAGCATATATCCAGAAAAGGTTAACAAAAGTAGAATGCATGAAGTCTAATTATGACATTGTGAGACTCATACAAGACTATGACACAAAGACGAGGAAGTTCAAGTTTAATGATGGTGACAGTGAGATGAAAAGCCAAGATGTGGCTGAAATTTTTGTCTTGCCAAATAGAGGCAAGAAGCTACCAAGCACTACAACCTCGACAAGGCTGGATTTGCATTTTGTAAAGAAATACTTTATGGGTTCTAAGAAGATAACGAAGACTTCAATTGATAAGTGCTTGAACTTAGCACTTGAAAATGAAACAAAAGAGGGTCTTATGGATAACAAGATTGATAATCCTACAACTCTTCAGGACCAATCTCTTCTGCAACTCTGGTTGTACACTTGCTTGGACATATACAACCATAATAGACACCTTATAAGAGATAGGGAAATATAATTGGGCTTAAGGAGTTTTGGACTACATGTATTTTGGATTAGAACAAGCAAAGAAGAACAAGAAGGACAAAAAAAAAGAAAGCAGCCAAGCGTGAGTGGATGCCTAATCCTAATATCGGTAAGAACACAAATATCCAAACTGCAAATTTGTAGCATTATTCTAATGATATGAATAGACATGTGATATTGCAAACAAATAAAATAAAATAAAATTGTGCAGTATTGGTTGTGTCAAAGATCTAACCTGCTCACTCTAATTTCTGGAAGAGAACAAATGACACCGGGGGCTGTCAAATGGAGTCTTCAACAGCTGAGTGCGAAGCTTCATCATCTAAAGAACAACCACGTAAAGGTACTCTTCCTTTCAAATAATATGCAGCTGATATGACAACATTGTTAACAACATGTCATAGACGTACATTCTTAATACCATGTCATAGAAGTAAACTATTAATACCATGTCATAGAAGTAAACTATTAATACCATTTCATAGAAGTACACTATTAATACTATATCATAGAAGTACACACTTAATACCATGTCATAGAAGTACACTTTTAATACTAACTCTAATTAACAAACAGATAAAAAAAACACTAAAGTTCAAGAGGAGGAGGATGCGGCTGAAGAAGTGAATGAAGAGCATGATGATGCTACTGAAGAAGAAAATGAAGAGGAGGATGATACCTTCATTATCACACTTAAAAATTGGGTAAGATAACCTATGATGATATAATATTTATATTTGAAAACTGAATTGAGGGTGTACAAACACACACACGCACACACACACACACACATATATATATATACATGTATATAAATTTGCTAATCTTATGTTTTTGTTCCTTTCTAATATTGTGGAAGACATAACACTGTTATTATCCAAAAAAAGAGGCTCAACGTCACTGATAAAGGAGAGAGTGAATACCTTGCTGCGTAGCAAAAGGAGCAAGAGCACCAAGAGAACCAAGAACATAAAGTCCAACAACACCACCAGCTACAAGATGACCTCCAAACTGAAATCCCATAATACAAGAATTCAACGTTGTTTGAATAAATTGTTAGATCAATCCCAAAATACAAGGAGGATGAAATATAGCTTACAAAAGAGTATATGATGGGGATCAATAATGTTGTTGAATATTGGACAAAGAAAGGAGAGCATCAAAAGATCCATGATGCAATAGCATCCTACATAAAAAAGAATAAACTTATTCATATGCTATATAATGAAAAAGAAGAATTAAGGAAGAAGCAGCAGCAATTGCAGAAGCTGGTTAAGGAAGAAGCATATCACAATAATTTCATACAACTTGATGTTTATAAGGAAAAATCCTACAAGACAAAGCTGCATTTAGAAAATGATCAACTTCTTGCAGAGAAGATTTCCTACTTGGAGATTATAAATAAAAAAGAAGCTGTCATTGCCTTGTTGAGAGATAAAAAATTAGCACAGAAACTGCAGAGTGAAGAGGATAAAGGAGAAAAGCAAGAATGTGAAGCAAAAGAGATAAAATCAAGAAACTTGCATCCGATGGCCAAAAAAATCAAAGAAACAACATCTCAAAAGATCGGAAACCAAACCAAATTCCTCATTCCATAAAACAGAGACGAGAGCACAAAAGAGAAATGCAGCCCAAAAAAAAAGATCAAGAACTATCCAAATCAAAGAAGAGGGCCAAAGGTTCATTCCTGCAATGGAATACATATAAGGTTTACAACATGTTGGATGAACTTTCAAAAGAAAAGCTGAAAAATTACTGGAAAGATTCAGTTGATGGGTAAGGCAATGTGTTTCATTCATTTTCAATGGAAGACACTATTATGGAACAGTTCTTTCACTTTTACTGACATTTTTTCTAACTACAAATACTATTGTAGCACTGCTTTTTGGCAAGGGGAAAGCATTTTGTTCAAAGATGACATACAAGGCTTATTAAGCCCCCATTTAGGATTGCTTTTTTTTTTCTTCGCCAAAAACCTGTTTCACTTTAAAGTTAAGTAGTTTAAGGTGTTTGGTAAAAATAAAATATCCCGATTATTTTAAAAGCAATGGCCTTTTGACAGTATCTTTTAAAACATGCTCGAGGTTGCTTTTCAAAGCTGCTTTCAAAAGAAGCAGAGATGAACTTTTATTGAATTTTTTTAATTCCCAAAATACCATCATTCATTTTAAAAATGATACCACCTCCACTTCCACATCTCACTCCACCACTTGCACCCCACATTCACTATCTCCACAACCACCGCCACCACCACCACCACCACCACCACCACCACCACATCCTCCTCCCCCTCATCCTCCGCCACCACCATCATAACCATCACCTCCTCCACCTCCACCTTCACCTTCACCTTCACCTTCACCACAACTACCACCTCCTCCAAAACCTCCACATCCACCACCACCTTCACAACCGCCATCCCCACCACCACCACCACTACCACAACCACCAACTCCACCTTCATCACCACCACCACCTCCACTCCATCACCACCATTACCACCACATGATTAGCTCATAATACTTTTAACATCATGTCTATTTTAGTCATTATTTACAATTACAACAGTTTTATATTAAAATTTACCAAATAGTTTTGACACTGCTTTTTGTGCTAACATCACTTTAAAAATATTGTTTACTAAACATGGAGCTACTTTACTTTATAGCTAATTATTTTCAAAGCACAACATAAATAACTTTTTTTATCCCAAACTGGGCCTAAGAGATACTGAAATTTTTGGACAAATCATAGATGCAGATGAGGAGATACTTCATCATGATGAAAAGAAGGATCATAAAAGATGACAGAATGCATACATCACGTGCTACACTTACGTAAGATCATAGATATCTCATTACTTCTAGTAAATATCACAAATTATTTATCTTCCTATACTTTTCACATTCTTTATAATGCCAAAACTATTAATCTTGCAAAGGTATCTCACAGGTAAAATGCACACAAGAACATTCGATGAATATTTTGTCAAACTCCACAAATGCATAGGGAAAACTTCAAAAGTATTTATACTAATAACGAATGGCGGCCACCATACCCTGCTTGTCTTTGACATCAATTCATTGCAATGGACGCACTACAACTCATTGAGGGGGAAAATTGAGCAAACCGTTGAATACTACAACAAAAAAACAGTAATTTTGGTAAGACAGAATCCTACTGTGAACTGTTAATACAAGGCATCAACAAAACAGTTAAACAAAAATCAATGAAGCTAACAACGTACTTGCCTACAACGCAGACAGATGCATCAAATGTCTTCCTCAATAAAGTCGAGGAATGTGCTCCAACAATTTTTTTTAAAAAAAAACAGCTTCACACTTCTTGAGTTCAAGAACCCAGTCTATAATAAAGAATTCACTAAAGAGATTGCAAAACTTCTTCCAAACCTGAAAGTTACACCATGAATTACTTAAACAATACAATATCTGATGAAACATGATCCCACCAAATTCAACTTTAAAGAGGGCAGGGAATGCCCCCAACAACCCAAAAGTTCGTGTCACAATAACACTTTTCTTCCCCCGATTCAAATTAAACTATGATTCACTAAATATTGCATATATGTGTGTGAATTTGCAGAAAAGATTGTGGTGTATTTTCATGTACTACATGCAACAGTTGTCACAAGGAAAAAAAAAATTGAAGAAAGCTTGAGTACAGAGCATGTGTGGGAAATGAGAAAATAAGTTTTATTGAAGACAATGGAAAGTGAAAAAAGTTGGTATTTCACATAAGGGAATAAAGGATGAAAGCATGGATTTCACAGATTTTAGAATTGTCAAATAGTAAATGTTCGGCTTCTAACTTCCAAATGTCAAATTGTTAATATGTATTTTCTAAACAAAATGTTTTGCTGCTTCTTAACTTTCAAGTGTCAAATAGTTACAATGTAGTGACATTCAAATGTAAAAAATTGTTATTATGTAGCTTCTAACTTTCAAACTTTTTAATAGTGAGTTTCAAAATGTGCATTAATAGTGACTTTCAAAAAGTCCAGCCCAAGTTGAGAAAAACAAGGTTAGAAACGAAATAAAGCCCAAAAAAATAAAACAAGCCATCACAAAATACAGGGAAAAAAAAAGCCCAATCTAATTTGAGCAAAAAAAACCCAAATAACTAAAACATGCAAAAAACAAAAAAAAAAAATAAAAAAAATCACAAAATGTCTCATAAAAAATAAAAAAATCCCAGAAAACTCAACAAACCCTGCTAGAAAAGAATTTTAGAAAATAGCCAAAACAGCCCAATTTGACTAAGCCCATCGAAAAAAACAATCTAAAAATCAAGACACACGACCCAAATAGCGGAAAACCAACTCATCTCTCACTCCCCAATCTCTGTGACATTGAGTCCAAAAGCAGGCTACAAACTCCACAACCACCAATCAGGCGACAAACTTCATAACCACCGATCAGGCAACAAACTCTATAATGACAAAGCCGACAACTCGAAGTTACAATCTGCCATAGCCACAGGTCTTCAAAATCGACACTACAAAAATCCTAAAAAAGCAATTCAACACAAGGACAACCCAGGAAAAAAGGAAGAAAATTTCATCCATAAAGATCGACAGAAGGTACAATCTCAAAAACCCACATTCACTTTCCACTTTCGTCTTAAGATTCAGCTAACTAATGCAAGGGTACCACGTTTCATACAAGTAACCGACGAAAAGGTCCAACAATGACATAATCAAAGACCCAATTTGCAAAAATCACTGACCAACAACCAGAAACAAACACTCAAGCTGGAAAAAGCACAGAAGACCGTCAGAAATCAAACAAAGAAGCTTAAGAATTGACTGACAAAACATCAGTATCAAACTCCAAGGTATTACAAAATCTCTAACTTCAAAGTCCAATAGCAATGTTTTGACATGTTTTGAAGAGAAGCAGGTTTTGACTGCAATGTATATATTGCACAACTGTTAAATACTGTCAAAGAAGTAGATTGTTAATACTATATCATAGAACTTGAACTGTTAATACTAGGTCATATTAATTATGCTAATTAAATTCTCATTTAATTAGCCTACTAATGGGCCTAAAAAAAGATAATACCTCCACAAATCAAATGGATATTATCTCCACAAATCAAGAAATCCTCATTGCACTAAATCTCCGAGATATCCTCCATCTCATTTAGAAAAGATGAATTATTCCTGTTATTATTCTAAAGATGGCACAAGATAATTCTCCTATTTACATCCCAAGAAACACACCAAACAAGGTAATTCCAAAATCCGAATATTATTGGAAAATTGGGAAGAGCAACCCTAACCTTAGGCTCTCTCTCTCTCTCTCTCTCTCTCTCTCTCTCTAAGAAAATTCTCATGTTCCTTTCAGAAAAATACCTATCTCCTTGAGATTATATTTTTGACTTAGGCATCGAAGGGCCCTTGGCAAACACCACACTCATGTTTATCTGATTGATCTTTATTATTTTGTAGGGAATTTTCAAACAAACATTTAAAATAGAGTGAAGATCTTCCACAAATCCACCTAGGAGGAAATTTGCTACCACATACGCTACTGATTAGATTGACGACTTCGCCTTTATTCCTAGAGAGGCTAGTCTAATCCTCCCAGCTAGGGATGGAGCCACCTTAGGGCCTATCATGGCCTCGCCGCCTTCCCTCCAAAACAATTGTTCCCGTACATACTGGATTATATAGCTGAGGCTAACATTTTGAAGAATAACATACTATATAGCCATTGTAATGGCCCCCCAATGCAAGTATTGTTGGGTGGTTGGAAGCAAACCCTATACTTCATAATAATTTCATTGACAATTATATATTACATGTGTTTTTTTTTTAATAGAGAAAATCGTATTGCATTCAACCCAAAGAGAATATTACATGGTAAGAATGAGCATGTTAGCAGTGGCCTCGTTAAAACCTTTTCGGGGAAAACCACAAGAGATAAAACCCTGGGGTAGGAAAGAGCACCACCCATGCTAATGACTAAACAGAAGAGTCAACACCCATATTACAAAGTCAAACAAAATGAGACCAATCCTCCCTAACGCCATCTAGGAGCCAGGGAGGTCCATCACCCAACCAATAACAAAGCTCCTTTGCTCAAAGACTATAACTCGCAATACTATGAGCCACAATGTTGGCAGTATGGGGGACAAAATGAACACAAGAGGATAACGCTAGAAGAAGACGCCGAATTTCAGTCACAAGCACTCCCTCATGAGCTAAACATTCTTCCTCCTTTGATGGCAATTGCACTGCAGCCAGGGAGTTGGATTCAACTACCAAGGGCAGAAGCGATGCATCTAAGACAAAAGAAAGACTCACTTTGAGAGCGTAAAGCTCGGTAGCCAACACAGACAGGAGACTAGGTGCCCTCATTACCACCGCCCCTATAAGAACACCGTGTGAGTCCAGAACAATCAGACCTACATCCCAAAAACCATCTCGCAAATCCAAAGCGCCATCGACATTGAGCTTAAAATAACCAACCTAAGGAGGACGCCAATGTTTGTTCGAAATGGGCAAAGAAATACATTTATGAAGTAGTAACTAAGATTGATGATATTCCGCAATATAGTTCTTTGCACGGAAAAGAAGATGCTCCGCAGACATAGGATCAAAACCAAAAATGACCAGCCATTCCACACCATACCCAACACACACAGCACAAAAAAAAAAAAAAAAAAAAAAAAAAAAAAAAAAAGGTAGCTGATCATTGCTGAAATTGGGATTAAATCCCATGCCGCCAACAGCCAAATAGCAGCGTCATCCAGAGTCAAACCAAGAAAAACTGTCTGCAGTTCCGAAGACTCCCATATGAGACGAATAGTTGGGCAATCTCGTAGGGCATGAACTGATGTTTTGCAGCCAGTGGAGCAACGAAAACAAGTCGCATCCATGGCGATCTTACGATGAAAAAGGACAGCTTTTGTCAGGATGCCATTCTAAGCGAAACACCAAAGAAAGTGTTGTATTTTCATCGGCACTTTCATTTTCCAAATATGCCTCCATAATTTTTGTGACGGATTAGAACCAGTACCAATGCTAGTGTGACTGAGAGCAAAATTCTGATATTCTAAAGCAACCTAGTATCCACTCTTCACAGTATATCGCCCATGTGTAGTAAAGTGCCAAATTCTACGATCGACGTTATCACATACCAAAGGTATAGACAAGATAGTCTCCGCTTCCATGAAAGTAAATAAACTATAAACCTTGGGAACATCCCACCACCCACTTGCCGAAATCAGGGTGCTAACCTTAGTATCTATAGCGATGCGTGGAGCAGTTTGAGCCGTGAATATGCAGCGTGAATATATTACATGTTCATAGTCCCACCTTACACAATTAATATAGAGTAAAGAAAGGAAAGTAAATCCATAGCCAATTAATCCTCCAATAATACTCAAAATCAATGCCCTTTTCATAGTCTATTATTTACTGTTGCAGGATTGAATTTTTCTATTAAAAACTTGTGTTATGGTTTGGGGCCCCCACACATACAATCCTAGCTCCTCCCTGCTCCCGGCCTGAGTACACTTTGTTCCATATTTGGATATAAAATTATATTGCCTAAAAAAAAAAAAAAAAAAAAAAAAAAAAATTTTAGATGCCAACTGAGGTGACAATTTTTTTTTGTTCATATCTGAATCCTCTCTAAATCTAATTTATTTCTAGTGTTGGTGTGTCGCCTATAACATCATTTGTGACTAAAATTTGAGAAAACTTATGCTTCTAGTTGTTGGGAGAGTTTATCCTACGTTTGAAAAGTTAAGAGACCTAGCCTGATTTTATAAGGAATTCGACTAATCCCCCTTATTGCCAATTGATTTTAAGATGAAACCTCAACTTTCTTCCTTGGTATATTATTACATATAAATTATTTTGCCGTGGAAAAGAAAAGCTCAAAAAACAAATCATAGGTGATTTACATGCAAAGCACAAGCCTAGAGAATGTTCGTAATTGAAAAGGTAAGACCCATTAAATTTTGCTACTTGCCCTAGTTCAAGCAAGAGTGATGAGATTGTTCAATTAATCAATTTGAATTACTCAAGTAATCTGGAATGAGAAGGAAGAAGTTAGTAAGATACAAGCCACTGTATAATAAAAGTCTTCACCTTATGCCCAATCTCCAACCACAATTAATCCATTCCAAGGACCAAAAAAAAAAAAAAAAAAAAAAAAACAAATACCAATAAAAAATTATAGGAAGAATGCATATATGTGGCGCAGGAGCAGCAAAGCAATGCACCGGTATTATTAACTGTCGAACCACTTGAATATTTCAATAGCTCTTCACAATTTTTGAGACTGAAGAATATGTACCAAGGGTTGCGGCAATTATGCCCAAAGCAGCAACTGTGGTACTAGAAACAACCTAAATAACCACAAAAGAAAGCATTAAGAAGCTTATCTCATGCATTTTGTTCTCTGTTGGTGGCTCGGCTTGAACTATATTAGAGTCAGGTTCAAATCAGTTTTTATGAATTCCACCTATCTAGATGAGACTTGTATAAGACATAATATGTTGGATTGTTGTCCCATTTAATAAGTTCAATCGCAAAATTTATAAGTTCACTACATAGCGGTTAGGATACTTGTTCAATTTAATTAAAATAATCCAGTCCAATCCGAGCCACCAAATGAGCTAAAGAAAATGCAAGATGCTTTGAGTAAAAAATTAAGGTGTGGAGTTCCCTTACCTGTACCGTTGTAGCTTTCCTTCCTGCTATTTTCAGAAAGCATAGCGACGGCACTATTACTGACTGCACCAAAGCCACACATATCAAATTGATTATTATATTTTTATATGTATTTTCAAATATTTAATATCAACACCAAAAGAAAACGAAAAGGAACAAACCGAAGATAAGAGATGCTAGCCAAAAAAAAAAACAAAAACTCATGCTGTCATAATAATGAACCCATATCACAATTTTCAGTCTATCAACAGACCATTTCAATTTGCACAAACTATTTCTCAATCAAAACTAGTCTGAGGAAGAAGAATCCAGAGAAAGAAAGAAAATAAGACATAAGATCAGAAATCTTTCCTTACTAGTCTCCATTGCTGAGGATGTAAGGCATAATGACCATGTTTGGTGACTGGGATAAAATGGAATTATGATGTAGAAGTGGATCGCACTAAATTACATTGGATTGGAGATGATAACAGTAATCCAGTGATGCGTTTGGTACTATATATGATTAAGGCGCTCGATTAACTGAAATATGCTATTACACGGCCTAGCAGGATTAGACATAATCCAATCCAACTTAATCCCAACCTTTGGGCCTAGTAAGATTACGGTTTAGCTCCTAGCTAGTAACATATTGATGATTAACACTTAACAGAGGAAACCTCACCTAACATGTACAGAGTAGCCTGGTTTTAGTTCTAAGATTAGATTTCATAATTGGTTATGGCACTGTTGACTTCAACTACTTACAGTTTGTGTCATTTTATGAACTGCAGCTATGTAATTGCTGAACAGAGGTGTAAGCTTACCACAAGAATACTGAGTAGAGAGCCTATCAAAGACATCACAAGACCTGAAATAAGAAAATACAACTGAGGTAATTAGGTTTACAAAATTTGACTGGCGCAGGAAATAAATGCATAAAAGATAGCAGTGGAATACTTTCAACATTTTTGTTTGAATTATAAGGTTTTGAACAGTTCATTGTCGGACTAGGGGAGAGCGAGTAGACATCGAATGATTAATATCTATTTTTCGTTAGCGTGGAATTCGTCTAAGTTCTACAGTGACCTAGCTGAAAGGTTTGAATTGAAGTGAGTGCTTGAAGCCAAAACTTACCAAAGAAAGGTATAAGAAAGGCAGCACCAACAGAAGAAATGACAAGTGCTGTTCTTAAAACAATGAAACACCAGGTACTATTGGAAAGTCCAACTGGCAGCAGCTCCTCAATACCCCTTGCTAATGGGTTCATCAACAGGGCATATTTGCTCAATGTTAAGGAAGCAAATAAAAGCTAACCACAGAATTTCAGATTATATCCACTAATATAATATTCGCAAGTACGCACACATTCACATATACAGGATATAAAATTTACTCAATCAATCAATTAATTTGATACCATGGGTGTGATAACAAAAAAAAAAAAACAAACAAAAAAAAAAAAAAATCTGAGAAGGTCAGAACGGAAATACATATTTCACCAAATATGAAGTGAGAATCCACAAATCTCAGACTTACTGTTGTCCAGAGTGCAACTTTGGACAGAAAAGCATGTGGTGGCATGTTTAAAGTTATCTGGGACAATGTTTGTTGACCAAACATGAGATATCCCATGACTGCAACACTCCCATATAAGAGCACACATAATATAAAACTGCACAAGAGAAAAGGTGCAAGGCATATAAGAAAGAAGGCCAAGAAATGCGTGTGTATGAAAAGGAGCAAAGCATTACAGGTTTTACACCATATTATGATCGCCTTGCTAAATTGTCGTCTGTCTGCCATGGATTGATAAATGTTTGGAAACACAGTATGCCCGGCAAAGCAAAATCCATACACACCAATTACAAGTGGAATTCCATTCCAGTTCACTGCTTGAGCATTGTGATGAAATCCAATCCCACCAGCGGTACCGAGTAAAATTACACACAGAACAATCAAAGTGTGACAATCACCCCACCAGCTGCCAAAAGAAAACAGCTAAGAGTTGAGTTGATTGCATCGGAAATGAAATGATTCATATTTTCGAAGCTTGGAACAATGCGGCATTTGACAGAAGAAGTTTGCAAAACCTGAAAGGAAGGAAATCAAACGAAGATCCCTCAACCAAACAGTTGGTAGAACAATGAGGGCAGTTACTATTCCAAATAAGTGCAAGGAGTCCAGCTGAAAACCAGCCCAATTTAAGGATGTTCCTGGGAATAGTCTGCTGAGATTATCTCCTTCCAAAATAATGAATTCTACACAATAAGACTGCATATATGGAAAAGAAATATTTTTTAGTATAAACAACTTATGGTTCAAAACTTCAACCACAATGTAAAACTAGAATCAATGTTTCACTTACATATAGTTCTGCGTACAAAACAATCTGCACCGTTATCAGAAGACGCAATGATATCAGAAAATATTGAATACAAAAGTAATTGGCATGGCAGTTCTAATGAAATCATGCAGAAAATAAAGCAAATTTATAGATCCAATACAATTCAATGACACAAATCATCCTCTATGAGGTTGACTTGGCCAAATTAGACTGTAAAGTGCTTCAAATAAATTTCTGTATCTTAAAATTGACCAGAAGAAAGATAAGCATTGGTATGTCAGCAAGCAATAACAACCATATTGAACTAGCCTGCCCAACTCTTCATTGCTAATAGTCGAGCCATATATAGTGCCAATAAGTTGCAACTTACGGATATGAAAAGACGCCCATATCTTCCAAAGGCAGCTTCTCCTAAATCTGGATAAGTTGTGATGCCTTCTTTGCTCTCAAAACAGTATCTCATGAGTACCCCCGTGTAACAACACACAACTGCAAAAAGAAGTAGCACCACCAGACCTGCCCAGCCAGCTTCTTTCACTGTAGAAGGTGTTGAAAGAAGCCCAACTCCAGCTATACATTAATTCCTGTTCAGAAAGACATGACACAATGAACTCAAGCAAATACAGCCACGACACAAAAGTGTAAACTACAGAGTAAATGCAGGCACCGAATAGATCCATGTAACTACTGATGTAGCCTTTGTTTGCAAATGCTACATTTATTTAGTAAGCAGAATCATATCAAACCATAAATAAGTATATGTAAATTTTCTCACACGAACGTTAGTTCTCATATTAAGGTTTTGATGTTTTTAAAATCACTACCAACATAAATACCAAATATCAAACAAAAACTAAGCAAATCATATCACACAAAAACAATTAAATCAAAAGTATACCATTGAAGATGGTTTGAGTGAAGCTACAGCCATGACCAATAGGTAGTTCTCCCGTCTGCTGCTTATGCAGAGTAGATTTTTCTGACAATAATGATTGGGTTATTGATATCCTATCCAAATCAGCCTTTTGAGGAGCAGATTCATTGGTAGACAGGAATGAAGACTTTGTAATCAGGTCTAAAATGCCTTTTGAATAATTGTGAATGCTTGCATAGCTACTAGTTGGAACAAATCCAAGATTTGCAATATTTGGTGATGCTGCGATTGAGTAAGAATCGATTGTCTCCCTGTCAAAAAATAACATAAAATACAATGTGATGAAAAATGCATCTAAGAAATCATTATATAACAACTACTCTGGAAAATAATCAAAATTACAATGATGCATAATGTACTAGATATTTAACTTATCCAACTGAGGCGAGACAATCCATACATGATCAGCCTATTTTAGCTCCCATAGTTGACTGATTTAGTTTATCTTACAATGAAGTGATTTAGTTCTTGTTGAGCCAACATCCACTCACAAGTCACGCTACTACAGATTAGTTCAGTTGATGTACCTCATTGAGAACTTAATGGGGTGCCTACAAGGGACGGTATAAAGAGGCACATCAACTGAACTGGTTTCTGCTATTCTTTAGTACCTTTGGTAGGCGCCTACGAAGGACCGTATAAAGAGAAGGTATGTGCAATAAGATAAATGTCTTCTTTGATACAATCTCATGTGGAAAAATAAGCTCTAAATGATGAATTGGAATATGTTAAGTCTTTTGAATTGGTTTCTGCTATTCTTTGGTACAATCTCCTTCTCAAACACTTGAATTAAAACATTTGTTTCTTGGTGGACCATATTTTTCTTTTCTCCCATCTTCTGCATTAGTTTTCCGCACAGCATACAGAACATCTTCTTGCTGATTAAAAATTATGCATAATTGAAACAGAGATGGAATTCTTATCACACAATTGGTACAAAATTAACTTAAATTTTAATCCACATAATCTGTTATGACAAAAACAAATCAAATGGCAGGAGATTTCTACCGTGTACATCTCTTGATATCAAAATGGAACCAATTAAGAATGACCCAATAAGTTATCAAAAGGGGTGAAAGGAAGATGCATACTTGTAACTCTGAGGCCATTTCTGAGAAGTAAAACTAACAGGAGAGGAAACCTCAGCATGGTCACCACCATGGCTGCTACTAGAACTGCTCCCACTCTCAGTCTTGTTCTCCTCAATATCATCGTCTTCATCTTCACTCTCATACAGAAACGGATCCGTTTCTTTCTCCTTATCCTTCTCGGCCATGGTTGGTCAGCAAAACACAAAAAAGAAGACACAGAAAACAGAAACAGAGGAGGTGAAAGAATTATTACTAGTACCCTTTGTTCGTTAGATTTTATAAAATGTGACAATGAGAGATGAAGAAGAGTGTAAGAGTGTCTTGTCTTTGTGGGTAGATTAATATGGTAGTGTGTTTTTATGCGTGGCTGAGAATGACAGTCCAGAATGTTACAGAAGGCTAGCTCATAAAATCATGCAATGTATGTGTGAGAGGTTTTCTAGGAATTCGGGTACATATTCAAGCAAGTACATAGAACCGAATCGGTAATCACGTGATAGTAGGTGATTTTTGGATACTTTATTAGGAAAATACTTTATGCCCAATTTTTATTTATTTTTTAATTACAATGCATAAGAAAAAATTGTCTTATTTGTAGAACCTATAAAATAGTGCCACATTGCCATTAAAATTATACGGACAATAACATTATCGTCTTATAATTATTAGTTCCTTGGTTATGTGTCGTTCAAATGACAATTGCTTACACACATACACACACTACCAAGCAGTGGTGGAGCCAGAAAATATATCAAGAGGGATCAATCTCAAAAGACAAGAATTAAAACAAAATCGAAAAAAATCATATAATAATAAAATCCTTTGTATTATTAAGTTATTACAACTAAAGAAATAATTAAAAAGGTAAGTAGCATAAGTAGGGACATGCGAGACAAAAATTTCATCTTTTGTAAATCAACATTCTACTTTTGTAGTTTTTTTCAAAAGGTAAGATGGTGAGAAGGGTCACTTCACCATTTAGAGCCTTTATTAGCTTCACCCCTGCTAGTAAAGATACAATGAATGTTCGAATATGAGACAATTGATCTGTCATGAAGGAGAAACTATTAGCAGGTACATATAGAAACGGTGATGAAGTGATGATGTTGCCATGCTTAATTATTTCGTTGACATGCGGGATGTACATACGAATCTCTCCTCCTAACAAACAAACGCATAACCAATCCAACAAATGTGTCTATGTCATAGTTTTGTGGGCTAGTAAATTAATGTCTACAATCAGACAAAGTATGCCAAGTTATATGGCTACAATGTGTCCCTTTGTGCCGTCCACAAAAAAAATAAAAACAAAGGTGTCTCTTTGTAGCAGCACTGACATATAAGTAATTTTTGTGATGAGAGTAATATTATAGCATATGTATATTTATTAATATTGTATTTTATGGCAGTCATCTTCTATCGGAAGATTTCTCAAATTTATGTGGAGCACACTTTGTGGTGTCCGTTATAAATTTATTTCCATGATATGTATCGTCTACTTTACAAGTCTTCATTTATGGTCTCATAAATCATCTTTACGAAAAATTTCACAAATTAAAGATCATTAAACATCTATTTGTAACCAACAAAATCAACGAGCATATACTGAAATAACAACAATTTAATTGACTGGTCAAATGATTTCGAATTCAAATGACTTTTGGTAGAGATGATCGTTTAAGGATACATAGAAATACATGGTTGAGATCATTGAAATACAATGTAGAGTCAGTAAACCTCACACAAGGTGTTCATCAAATAAATATATTTGAAAAATCTCTCAATTAAAGCTCTCCATACATCAACATAACCATGAGTTGGCATTATGCATCGGTGGCCCAAATTAGGCAATTGCAATATGCGTTGCTTAATGCCTATTCCATATGTCTCCTGTACATGTTGTATTCTCTAAGGTTTTGCTTCCTCTTCCAAAAGATGCATATATTCTCTTTCCACTTCGCAAGTCACTATATTGAGGCTTGGATCATATTAAAGCACATCAAGCTCTCCCCTTTATTTCTTCACCATCTCCTGAAGAAAATATAGAAGATGGGCCAAACTCTGAAGAAATTAGCTCCTGGTATGCTCTCTCTCTCTCCAATGGGCATTTCACCAAAAATATATTGCTCTCTTATGAAATGATATAAAAGTCAACGTTTTTCTTTTAGTTGTATTAAATAACATTCAAATTCAATAACATCGCATTGCTAGCCTCTTCACATGCGCTTCCTTTCTTTTCAGGCGTTATAAAGATTTTTTTGGTTTATCTTGTGCTTGAGGAATTTTTTCTTAATCACACATTTTAATTTATTTTAGTTTATATGCAGTTGTCTTTATCTTTTATGGACATATTTATCATAATGGTTCTTGATAAATCGTGTGACACCATAGATTTCGGCCTGACTTTATAATAGTAGAGATGTGTAATAGAGTTCTCTAGTATTTGAGGATTATACTAGTGAACTCTATTATACATAAACAATATTAATAATCTAAATAATTAAAGTCTATGATTATACTAATTAATGTCACCCTGAAATTACCCTTATATTTATGCGCAGGAACGGAGGAGAACCAGATTAAGGAAATTAGACCCATAATAGAGAAGTGCTATGAAACCCATTTTGCAGGCACCTTTGAGGAACCAACCTTAACTGACTTTTACCGAGCAATATGCGAAACTGTCGAGTATAAATAATTTACCGAGCAGTAATTAACTTTTTTTATTTTTTTTATTTTTTATTTTTGGGGGCCATGAACATATGTGCTAACCTTCCTCCCATATTTTTGGTAGAGAAATCAACAAGCAGCTTGGTAACACACAATTTTGCTTGCCAACGGAAAGCAAACTCAGGCAAGCATACGAAGTAAGCATTTCTAAGGATCCATCTAGTAATGTCTTCTAAAAAGTGTTTTTGGAAAATAAAAATGAGAAAATGAATTTGTATTTTCAAGATTCACGAATATGCTTAATTAGAAAACAGTTTCAAAAAAGAAAAAGAGTGGTGAAAACTTGTATGGTGGTACAATGTGAGAATAACGTAAACAATTTATGTGTCACTTCCTTCAACCTTAATTTTCCATTAAAATGCATCATGTATACATGATACTAGTCATTTTTCAAAGTCATCTGCATTGCCAAAATGTAGGGCACCATTTATATTGTTCGGATGTGTAACCTAGATTCATAGTTTGACAACGTAACTTCTTATAACATAATTTTGATAAAAGAACACTATACTAAGTATACGAAACTTTCTTGCCAAATTGTGCATGTGTTGTCATATTGTAAATTTGGAGATTTAATTAGGTTGATGTATTCCAAATTCATACTATAACAACATAAGTATTTATTTGACAACATTAATTTTTAACACTACCCAAATCATACGTATATAGGAGAATTTTCCAGTAAGGATGCCCAACGTCAATCAGATGGGTCTATATTTTAGAATGGGCATGAAGGTAAAGGTTATAATAATGTGAACAACAAAATTATAATATTTTATAATGTGAAAAAAAAAATTATTAATTCATATATAATTGTAGAACCACCACCAAGGCAAAGGAAGATCATTGACAAGGGAAGAGTTTCAAAGGATTTTCCAAGATGTGATTTTGGGTACAGGATTTACTGGCGTAGGAGGAGCCAAGGACACGCTGATTTACATCTTTGGTGTTCCACTCACTGCCTTGTTTGTCAAGCAACGACTGATGCCACGTGTCATTCCTAATGAGATTTTCATTCCATGCATCACCTCTGCCACTGTCTTCGTACTTGCTAAGCTCAACAAGATATGAGCAATGGAGCACTTGCCAACTGAGGGTTTTCCATAAATGATACATTGTCCAAGATTTAAATCAACAATAATTAATTATTTTAGTATAATTAATGTATTAAATTGTTGATGATCTGTTTACATCTTTTTAAATTTGTCTGAATTGTTTTCTACCCCATCAGATTTTGTGTGAAAAAATTGTTGAGTTTGCCTTGCAAACAATTGGATCCATATAGAACTTTCCTTTTTCAAAAAAAATAAAATTCTAATTTTGTTAAATTTTTTAATCAATTGAATTTTAATTATAAAAAATCCTTGATTAGAATTCATGCATTAATATCTAAATTATGCATACTTTTTCTAACTTATCCTGTTAGAATGTGTTTTTGGTTTTGGTTTTTGTTTTCGAAAAAACATTTTGTTGATGCGTGAAAGTCGCGCAACCAATTAGAACGTAAGCCTCAGTCAGTCCTCTCTTTCCATAGCTGACGAAGGTGTTATGTATTCTAAATATACTTGGAGTGTCCAAGTAAGGATGAAACTCCAGTTGTCAATCCCTGTAAGAAGATAAGGCATGGTCACTAAAAAGTGATAATGGGAGAGTCACCACGGGAGAGTCACTAACCACTTTCCGTCTCCGATACTTAAGTCAGTGATTTTCTCAAAGAGGTATGAACTGTATTGTACTCAAGAATGGAGGAAGTTCATATTACATTTTAGGTGAAAAAGTTCGCTTGTTTTATACTAGGGAAGTTGACTTCCCATTTGTGTTGTTTCAATGTGAGACTAAAGGTCAGTTAATGACATGGCACCTTATGGGTAGCTGGTCAGTCGGACTGACGTGTATCTCTCCTTATTGGGGAATCGGGTGTCATTGGAATATTCATGGATTGATTGGTCCTTTTAGGCGCGGATTGTATCTCTCCTTTCAGGTGAACAACATGTGGGCTTCTAGTTAAACACCCAAGCGTTGGGCTAGCTGAGGGCGATGTGGTACACGTGTCATCCTCTTAGGCGCGGATAAAGGATTCTTCGACACTTACTTTTGGCTTTTGAGTCCCATCACTAACAAGTCACAAATAAAAACAACATTGAATTTTGGATCAAAAAGTAAGAGTAAAAAACAAATTATCATATTTTCCAAGAACATCAACAATGTTCTTCATGACTTCAAGAACGTCTCAATATTCTCATCACTCAAAAGACACATTTTTATAAGAAACTCATGGATTTTTACATGACATGACTCACTAACCTCATGACATTCACATATATGCAAGTCAACATTTAACAAACACAAGAACACCAAAAACACCCCATGCCGCTACCCCCTCTATGCATTTCTTAAAATCTTAACTTTCATGCCTTTCAATCCTAACTCCCTGGTTCATATGGCTTTTCAAATCCTCAAATGCAATCTTTTCCCAACTACATAACTCAACCCCTCTTCATCTCCCACTTCTCCTCGTTCCCACTGTCCAATCAAACTCCATCATAGACCAAACCCTAATCTCAGATGATGCAGAGGTCAGATCTGATGGTGACAACATAGTCGACATTGGCGATGATTTTGGTGTGAGGAGGAAGGCGATGAAGTAATGGAGGTCGAGCATCTCGCAGAATCCATAAAAATCAAGATGATCTGGAGCCTTCAAAATCAATCTACGACCTAAAGAGAGAGGGAAAGGGAGGTCTTCTGAGTCGGTGAGAGAGAGAGAGAGAGACTGTGGGGTTAGGGGAGGGAGGTCTGAGAGAGCTCCTACGCTGGATTTTGAAGTAACGCCTAAGTAGGTGGAATTTGTGTCATGTCCCAATCCACGTATTTACGTAACCATGGGTTAAGACATGATTCACACCTTAATTATATAATTTAATAAAAACTATAACTAAAATTTTTACATAGAATATTCAACGGAAACGACAACATCTGAAATCTATATATAAAAAAATTACATTATTTTACAAGTTAGAACTACTTGAGAATTCACTAAAAGAATAGCTCATTATTCATCCACAAGCTATGTACACAATACACTATAGATATGCCAAAATCTCTAGATTTCATGTTCGGTACCTGAAAAATCTATTAGGGGGTGAGCGAAACCACAGCTTAGTAGGGACATAAACCTTTTTATAGGAAATTGATATAACTAAATTAAGTAACATATAATCACACAGCCAAATATCACATTATTATTAATAATGCATGAATGCTCTTCTTTTAATCCCGTTAATTCATATAACTGGACAAGCATATCTACACGTCTCATATCGTGCTTATACCACTTAGTCTCGAATGCCCATTTATATGAACTAACCCTCATCTCAATCATCCCATAAATCCCATTTTGTTAGTCATCTTGTCTAACTCCCTGTCGCCAGTCCCGTATCACCCAATAAAAACCATGTGCACTGTGGATCCCTGAGATCTGGTACATTCCAAGAGTTAGACTCAACTAAACCAAAGATTATTTCCATTACCCTCTTTTTCCATTATTTTTTCAATCCAACAATTCCAACCAATTTCCATGATATTATGTAATTATGCCTTTCGCATATCCTATATATATCTCACAACAATGTAACCATTTAAAATGTCATCAATGTATATATTATTATGCCAACATTGTTCAAATAGTTAAAGAATATGTAAACACCTAATACAAGAAACGTCAATCAAACTGTAATACCATACATAAAATAATGCTCACAAAATTTAATTAAATCAATCTTTGTAAAAGACCCCCAAGAAACCCCTACCTTGACACCAGAGCTTTTGCTAGAAATGTAATGTGTTTTCCCAATTTTCCACCACATTCACAAACTCAATCTCCCACTTTATCTTCTTTTCTCTCTCACTTTCTCCTCTTTCGTTTTCTTTCTCTCTTCTCATGCATGACCATGCATGAAATCAAGTAATGAAGGTCCTATTTTATAGTAAGAAGAGGCGGCAACTATCCTATGCTTTCATTGGCTACATGTTGATTTACTTCAAGTATGGATAACTATTTCTACAATTACAACAACTCGTGGTAATATTGCTTAGTCACAATGACACATTTCCTTAATGTACTGCAAGTAAGTGTAAATATCTTCCACGTTGATTAATTAGTATGCAAAGAATGTAAAGTTGCAAACTACAACAATTAATAGCAAGAGGTGTTGCATGCAAGAGATGAAGTGATTAAGTTTTCTAGTGCCCAATTCTAATAAGACCATAAATTAAAATTATTATTAGACTTTAGCTACTTAAAACATAGAAGGTAAATAACACAATTCTAACAATTGAATATTATTATAAATATATACAATTAAATACTCAAGAAATATCTAAGGTTACCCATTTAGAGAAAAACAAATAATAAATATATAATTTATAGTTATTCAAATGAACATATATATATTTACTAAATACAAATAATTATTAGAATAGTACTGTAAATGTAAAACAATACATATGTGTGTGTGTATATATATATATATATATATATATATATAACGTTTAATCTTCTTTTTAAAAACTTTTAAGAATACGGATTCTCATAATTTGGAAATGGGACTTTAGGCATTCCAAGTTCCTTCCCAAAATCCTCCATAATTTCATAAGTTCCATTTTAAAACAAGCCAAATGGGGTAATTGAAGATTAGGATTTGTAAATCCCACATAATCCCAAGTTCCCCCTCTAAATCCCTCATCCAAACACAACTTGAGTATATCTACTACCAAACTATTTATTGAGTTACTAATTTACTTTAATATAAAATGACCAAAAAGATATATTGAATTGTGAAACAAATGTAATTTTAATAAGTACATCATAACCACCATATTCAACCCTAATCAAAACATAAGTGAAAAACCCTACTTTCAAAAACCTTAGGGTTGTGTTCAGATGAGGGATTTAGACAGGGAACTTGGGATTATGTGGGATTTACATATCCCAATCTTCAATTACCCTGTTTGGCAAGTTTTAAAATGGAACTTTTGAAATTCTGTGGTATTTTAGGAAGGAACTTGGAATGCCTAAAGTCTCATTTCCAAATTCCACCTACTTAGGCGTTACTCCAAAATCCAGCATAAGAACTCTGCATCGTCTAAGATTAGGGTTTGGTCTAAGATGGAGTTTGATCGGATGGTGGGAAAGGGAAGAAGTGGGAGATGGAGAGGGGTTGAGTTATGCAGTTGGGAAAAGATTGCATTTGAGGATTTGAAAAGCCATACGAACCAGAGAGTAGAGAAGAAGAAAAGAAATAGTTGTGGGGCCCACTATAGATCTAACATTTATTATTTATCTTTTCAGATTATTTAGATTTTATTATTTATTTAGTGACAATTTGGCATTGTTGTGCTATGAAAATAATCGCTGTCAGATTTGCTGTGAGAGAAATCAGATGTGAGATAAAGTAGTTTGGCGTTTGGTAAACTTTTTGTTAAAAGTGTTGTCATACGGACCAAAGAGTAGAGAAGAAGAAAAGGAATAGTTGTGGGGCCCATTATAGATCTAACATGTATTATTTATCTGTTCATATTATTTAGATTTTATTATTTATTTAGGGCCAGTTTGGCATTGCTGTGCTATAAAAATAATCACTGTCAGATTTGCTGTGAGATAAAACAATTTGGCGTTTGGTAAACTTTTTGTTAAAAGTGTTGTTGGTACTATTTCCCGAATAATCAGAAAATGATTCCAGCATAATCATTGAACCCAGCGCCTCTTCGAAAATGATTTTTGCATAATCATTAAAATCAGCGCCTTTTCGAAACTAATTCCTGCATAATCAGAAAATGAAAGCACCTCATTAGTGTTGAGGCCCAAAAAATCCACACTTCGGCCCAAATAAATTCTCGGCCCAATGTAATACCTTATCGAGAAGAAACCTGATTTGGGCACGCGAAAGTTCATCATATGCGCTTGCACACATGCCACGCCAAGTGACACGCCACGCCAAGCAAGGAATTATTATTCCGCACCTAATCACACCATAAGTTTAAGTAGGCCCAAGCCACGCAAGATGCCTGGGGCTTGCTTGAGTGGGTTGTGGTATGGATGGTAATAAATTGTCATGAGGCCCATTGATGGGTCGAGAAATGGAAGTCCCGGGTTGCTTGGGAGCCTCGGACTTCAGCCCATTGCATAGGCCCAAACATGTGAGTAAGCACAAGAGAGAAAAGTAGCCCAAAAGCCCAAGCAAAATAACCTAACCAAGAAATAACCCAACCAAAAAAATAAGCCCAATCAAGAGGCCCAATGTTTCACAAAAACCCATTTGCTTAGAAAACCACCTTGGCCCTTATAAATCCCAAAATAGCCCACAAAAGCTTCAGCTCTTTTGAAAAACAAAAAACACGTGAAGGAGGTTGGCAGACTCATCAAGCAAAGCTGTTGGGAGCAAGTTCCAAGCCAGAGACGCCCAAAGAACCAGGGAATGCTGGCCTGCACGCTGTCAAAAGCACCCATTGGACCAGCATATATTTTCACTTCCTTTCCTTCATCAGATTTAGCCAAGGCAAGGGGAATGAAAGAAGAAAAAACAGTAACCAAGAAGGGAAGCTCCCACTGCGCAGCTGCGGGAAAGGGGGACATTGAGCTCCCAAATCTCCTGAATTCGAGCAAATAAACAGAAGCAATTTTTGCCAAGATAGGGAAGTCAGATAAGAGGAGGAGAAAGGAGGAAAAAGCTTAGCCAAAATAAGTAGAAGCCATTAGGGTTTCTTGAAGAATGGTGATTTCCAGCGACTATAAATTGATGCCTTTTCTACCCAACGGAAGCAACCCAGATCTGGAGAGCAAGCTTCATCTCTCACCATGAAATCTCTGCAATTTCGTGCCCTATTCCTCCATCTCCTCCCACTTTCCATTCTGCCATGCCATTCTAGAGTCTGACATAACTTTTGTCAGGCTGCTGGAAACTTACCCAAACCACCAAATACTTCACCACTAACCACAACTTAAACCCACAACCTGCAGAGAGCAAGCTTTCTCTCTAACTTGCAAAAACTCAACAAACTCGTGCACTGTTCATCTTCTTCTCCAAATTGTTTTTCTGGCAGCTGCCAAAAGAACTCTGCCTTTCCTTTTCCTCTTTCCCTAGTCAAATTCTTCACAAAACACCTCATTCCTTACTTAAACACTTTCTTTTCTCATAAACCAAGCCTAATCTCTATCTTAATGCTAAACTCATGTTGGTTTGCTCCCATGCCACATGCCTCTCATGCCAAGCTTAAAATTTTATCTGTAAGCATGCATAAATTATCTGTAAGCTGCCATTATTTTGGTTGGTGAAGGTAACCAAAATACTTCCTAAGGCTCTACTGCCCTTTCGAGGTATTTTGGGGCTTAATTTTCGAACTCAGACAAAGGGGACAATTTCATCAGTCTGCCCTTTTTACAGCAGCCCAGCCCATTTGCAGCTGCTGGAGGAAAAAGTCCCCTAAAATTAGCTACTTTTCCTTATAACTTTCTCTTACAACAATTTTTAACCATAAGTAATTTTCTTATAGTTTACCAAATGAGCTGGGCTTTCCAAAAATTTTAAAAAATCACTTATCACCCTAAATAAGCAATGCCAAACAGCCACTTAGTTGTGATTCCAATTCAGATTTTTCAGCTAAACAGCAAAAAGAGAGAGCATATTTATGAAAAAAATTACCCAATGAAATCCCACCAACTCAAAATACCTCATCCAAACACAACTTCAGTAAAATTTAGGATTCGCTTTAACAGCACCCAAAAAATTTCAATGCCTAAAGCGTTATGTATAGTTGCTTCTCTAACAAGCACTTCCAATTGATAATTACGGTCGGAAAACCACTGGAACTCTGCAACTTCCAATTGATAATTACTCGTTCTCTATAGCTGCTCTTTCTGTCGTTCTGCTACCGTCGACTTCTAACTTCCTTTCCCTCTCCAGCGTCTCTCTCTCTTCGACCATACCAAAACTCCCAAATCCCTTCTTCAGTGATACATTCAAACCCTAAATACCGTCATTCAGTCTCAAGCGAAACCATCTGCACAGGTAATATTGTTTTCAATTTTCTCAAATTTTTAGTTTCTCTTTGAATTTCCGACTACATTCATTTGATTTTAGTCCCATTTTTGGGTTGATCTTTCTGGTCGCCCTCAGATTAAAAAATTGTGGGTTTTTTTTTCTTTTGTTGGGGTGTGATTTATGAAATTGATTGACTATTGTTTCATTTATTTATTTATTTATTTTTATCAGCCTGCGTGTTAATTTTCTATTTCTTGTAGGTTTCATTTGTGTTTTTTCGTCTGTGTGAGCATCCTCCTGTGCAAAAAGGTAGAATTTTCTTTTAATTCTTCTCTTCAATCCTCTTAGTTACTTTTATTCTTCTGTTGCTTTCTTGTGTTGGGTTTTATTTCTGATAGGGTTGTTAATTTTGATTTGTTTGATTATGTTTCTTAATTGCAATTTTAATTTTTCCTTTAAATCCGTAGTATAGAGAACTATTTTGTGCTGGTGGTTGTAACCCATAACAGAGCTCTACCAGATCAGTGATATGAAGCTAATTGCTACATTTGGGCTTTCAATTATTGTATCCTGAACTCTGTGTTATGTGCGTTACTTGATGTACTATTAGTGAATGAAACTAAGCCTCTGTCTTATGTTTATAAAATTTATCACTACCATAGCGACATCTGCACATGAGCAGAACTGTTAGCAATAAATGGAGATGGTGAAATTTTCATTTAGATGATTTAGTAATATTATTTATTCATTCTCATGGCAGGAGACATGAGTGATTTCTCAAGGGAAGCCACTGATCTGACAACAGATGGCGAGACACAGCTGCCGCTGCAGGCGGACATGTCAATAGAAGAAGGCCAGTTTTATATCAGTAGCTAGCATTGCTTATGATTGTAGTGCATATTGCTTCCTCCTATTTCCAAGTTATTATAGCATAATTATGACATTGTTGTTATAACTACAGATTGGGAAGCTATTGCAGACCGCGAACCTGATGAATTACTCTCCTCACAAGTCTTGCCTGAAGTATCAAAACTTTCTTTGGAAGATACCAAAGGTCAAACCCCTAAGCGACGTGGAAGAGGAACATTTTCATATAAGAAAGATGAACTTTACAGTGATCAAATACCTGATAAGTTAATTATTGATACGCGAGAGGATGAAGATGTGTGCCATAATTTAGAGGGAGATCCAAAAATAAGAAATTGTAAGTTTTATCTTTTCCATGTTTGAAGTTCGATGCTGTCAATATGCTTGGTTTGTATAGTCATATATAGATTCTCCATATGGTAAAACATACTTAGATGTTTCTTGGCTTTCAAACTGTTAATGCTTTTGACCCAGAAAAGAAAATGTTGATTCCATACAAAAAGTCTGCACATTGGCTGAACATGAAATAACTTCTCAATTAAATTAGTTTGTTAGAAGATCTTGCTATTTTTATTTTTAGGCATTGTCAAATAGCATCTAGATGTTTCCAGTCTTTAGGTTTGAATTTTATCTCAGGCAGTATGCAGGATCTAAGGATTTGTTGTTGTGAATTCAGCAAAATTTGGTACACAACATGTTCTTGTTCTGGCTGACTTTCCACCAAGTACTACGACAATAGAGTTGGAGAAGCTTTTTCAGGACTTTGGAGATCGTGGAGTTGTTATTCGCTGGGTCAATGATACAGTTGCACTAGCAGTTTTCCAAACACCATCAATTGGTAACATATTTACTCAGTTTTTCAACCTAATCATTTTGAAATTTATGAGATTAATTAAATTTAGATAACTTTTTCCAAATTACATGCCATTTGACATGCTAGTGTTGTTATTCATTTATGCTGCTCGTGCCCTATTAGGATGATATATCATGGCTGCCCAAAAACAGTTGTAGATTGTACTTAATGGACAACCGATCACTTTGTTTTGTTGTTTTTGGCTAAGTAAGAACCTTAAAACCCTTAGATTTAGGCAGAGTGTTTACCATTTGAGCGGCATGGCTGTGTGTGGTTTGATTCCACCTTGGCCATCTCTGTATTTTTATTGTTTATTGCAAAAAAAATTGTTTCCTTTTCAAAAATAAATAAAAAAATTAATTTTTATTATATTTATATAATATATCATATTTTTATTTCCTTTGAATAAAAAAATTAAAAAAATTCTGAATTTGTTGACACCACTTGCAGTCAGTCATGCACATGGTAAAACATACCATGGCAACAGGTCTAGAATCCTTCAAAAAATGCTCAAGACGTTCCTTACTGTTGGAAATTTGAGCTACAGGGTGATATAGAGTTGTAAAATGCAATTACTAAACTGTTAGAATCATTTTTCAAAGCGGGGCATTGAGGGGAGGTATTCTATGTCTTGCAAGCTGAGATGTAAGTATATAGATAATTAGCAGTCTATCTATATCTATATAAAGGGAGAAGGCCAAAATGGTGAAACTATCACACTAAACTAAAAAGTTTAAAGTAAAGTTAGAAAGTTAGAAAGAAAAAAAGACGGCAGTTAATTACTCCTCAGTTTGTCATTTTGTTCCTAGTAGGTTGCTGTAGACTGGGAGTTCCTTTTTTTGTTTAGCAGTAGAGCTGCCTTTCAAGCCTTAGTTTCTGATCTTATTTAATCATAATTGTGATTCATTGTGTTGATTTGAGTTTCCGCTTCAGAATCATTTTAATCAATTGACGATCTCTAATATTTGATGCAGCACTTGAAGCTCGTAATTGCATTCGATGTGCAATGAAAGTGCAAGTGCTTGATGAGAATGATACCCTTTTGAGTTCAATTTCACCCAAAGGTAAAATAAGCAAATAAGTTTTTCTTCCACTTTGGTTGCTTGACATGACCTGAAAGGCTTAGTGCATTTTAGGTCACATGAATGGTACAAGACGGTTGACCCAAATTGTTACATATTTTTGCTGTGACTGAGGAGTATGGCTTTGTGAAATTTTGCGAGGCTTGAGAATATGGGGAGCAGTAGTATTGGGTACCTTACTTCATCTACGTATTGTAGTCATGTAGATAATCAAGAATTGAACAGTGGGTGCTCACAAGTAGCTAATAAGAGAGGAGGTTGCTAATGGAATGTCTCCTGTTTAAGAAACAATCTCCTTCAACAGTTTAGACCCGGTTTCATCTAATCTTTCTTGTGTGAACTAAGAAATTTGAAAAATTAGAGCATGAATGAGATCATCAGTACATAAACAGACTTAAAAGGCTACAAAGGTTGAGGTAGTGCTCTAGGGCTGTATGGACTGAGGAAAATAGAAGAATTCGAAAGAGAAAAAGAGGAGGAGAAGGATACTAGGCGAGAGAACAATAGGGAGGAAGATAGGGTTTCACTTTATAATATCAACTCACTGTTCAAGTCTGGTCCATTAGGTTCAATAAGTTTTATTTGTATAATAGGCAGCTCAAATCCAATGAGGAAATAGAGACACCAATGAAACGTTAATAATAATAGGAAAATATACCCCAAAAGTAGTAGAAATCCCTGTTAAATTTTGCATGTTTAAGATATGATATAATTCCAAAAATAAAATGAAATATTAAAATATCTCAATATAATCTCCATCCCTAGCCTCTAGGTACTGCCCATTAGAGTTCGACTAATACTCTTTAACTATCAAAGGGGGTCTGTCTAGGTTAGCGTTCTAATGTGGAGGATCCATGAATAACTGGGACCAAAGAGCATATTTCCACTGCCTCTAGAAAAGAAAGATTAGAAAAAATATAGACATAAATGAAGTGTGCAAGAAATTAATTCAAATGTCCATTGCTCTGGTACCCATTATTTCATAGAAATGGTGCAACTACAATAAGAGAGAAAGGAGGAAGGAGGAAGAATAGAACTTTAGATAAAAACAGAGTTTTGATATTAACGAGGTAGGTAGATGTGTCCTATTTTGAATTTGCTACTAATTAGGGATCCAAGTTTAAATTGAGTGATCTCCCACAGTACTAGGTAGCATCATCCCCTGAATTCATCATATTCTTCCTCAGCAGTTTGAGGTACTTTGTACTCCTCTATGCTTAAGTTTCTATTGTGAAGATGTAATGGATACGAATGAAAATTTGTCTGTAATGGCTGCCGGATGATATACTCATACTTTCATTGTATTATTCATTGTTAGATCTGGAACCGCCACGGCAAAGGCCACAGACATCAGTAAGAACTGCCCAGAGGCTCATTGCGCATGGAATGGGACTGAAACTGCCTTCCACAGCCTTTGGGTCCGAGGATTTGAAGAAACAGGAAGATGATCGAAAAAGCCGCATAGTCATGAGGCAAAAGTTGAAAGATGATGCTTGGGGTACAGATGAAAGCTAAGATTTTTTCATTATGGCATTTCTTTCCTCCCTCTGTATATGACTCTATAGCTTAAAAGATCTCTGTATTTGGGCTTCCAAGCATATACGATTAATTTCAATGCTAGAAAAATGTGAGTTGCTTGGTTTTTAGCCTTGAGCAACTTCTTAGAAAGATATTAGATGCATGGTGGACTTAACTTGAGTATAGCATCTCAACCATTGGATCAAATATAGATGGATAAAAATGGGTAGCCTGCATCTCTACTATTGTAGAATTCTATAGTGAGGGCCTTATAAGGCCCTTAAATGAGGCTCTATCTCTTAATTGTCGGATCAAATTAGTTAGTTGCAATTAAGATAGGTGGCCTCATTTAAGGGCCTTAGATAAGGTCCCCACTATTAATGACTCCTCCACTAATATCATATAATCAGTTCACATTTAGCTAATGGTCTCTTGTCAAATAATTGGATATGTTGTATCGCTAGATTATGTAAATGTTTGGTTGTAATTAACAGTTCAATAACATTATCTAGTAAGAGAACATGATCCCTAATTTGCACGTCTAGAATTTGCGTTGCACTTGCTTTTAAAAAATGGGTAAATGTTTTATTTTTAAAGTTTTTCACTTAACTACATGCCCCTTCTTAAAGTTTTTGCTTAATTATTTGTTCAGTTATTCCAAAATAATAATAATAATAATAATAATAATTTTAATTTTAATTTCAACGAATTTATCCTTATAAATTTCTAAAATTACAATGCATCTAAAATTTACATTTTGGTTATTAATTTTTGTGGCCTGGTTATCAGATTAATTTAAGCAAACTACCCTCTCTCTTTTTTGTTTTGTTTTTTGTTTTTAATCCGTCACAATATTTGTTCTTCTGCCTTGGCGAAATGAAGGTGAAAAAGTCCATGTTTTCTTTCAACTAATGTGAAGGATATGTAAATTTAGGCCACGTTGAAAATGCTACTTATATTGTTGGGATAACTTAGTGTCCGTTTGACATTGCTTATTTGGGGTGATAAGTGATTTTTTAAAAAAATTGGGAAGCACAGCCCGTTTGTTAAATTATGAGAAAATCACTTAAGGGAAAGCAGCTAATAAAGTACTTTCATTTTCGGATTATGCATGAATCAGTTTCGAAGAGACGTTAGGTTTAATGATTATGCGGCAATCATTTTCTGATTATGCGGGAATTAGTACCAATAACAGTTTTATAAAAAAATTTACCAAACGCCAGATTGCTTTCTTTCACAGTTGATTTCTCTCACAGCAAACTTGACAACGATTATTTTTATAACACAACAATGTCAAACTGGCCCTTAATCCAACTACTCCGACCCACTAACCCTAAACCCGAGACCTGTGTCCAGAGACCCCCTCGATTGAGATGGATCCAGAACCCTAGCGCCCTAATCCTTGACACCATTGACTTAAGGGCGAGGCGGGACCCTAAAATTCGAGTTCGGATACCAAAATCAAACACAAAACAACATTATGTAATTAATCCAACTTTTAAATCTTATGTTACACCAATTCCTTAACAACCATCCAATTGAATATCTTGCACGCTGAAGGTAGCTTTTCAAGTTTAACTCAAGGAGGAGAACTTGGCTTAGCCAGGTAGGCAGCCATTAGAGCAACAAGAAAAGGGGACTTTAAATTTGTATACAGTTGGATTAAAGCAATGATTACTGAAAGCATTAAGATTCTAAACTAGATTTCTCTTTCCCTTTAATTTCCCAGATATTGTCAAAAGAAAACTCCGAGAGAATGCCAGAATGGAAACCATCACATTGACCCTGCCAGTGTCTCCAATTTTGTTATGGCTCTTAGAGCTTGTAGGAAATGAACGAGACTCTCTCTCAACCACAAAGCAACAACAAACTTAGGAAAAGAAGTTGCATGCAACCACAAACCAACAAGCACCAACAAAATCAACTTTTTTTTTGTTTTGTTCTTTTCATATATAAAAGGAAAATAATAAAACCAAAGGTGTGTAATTTTAATGTATTTTGGACAAAATTAGACGCAACAACATAATCTGATATTTTGGTTTTGTGGAAACAACATAATCTGATAGGAAAAAAGAAATATATAACATAAGCATTTTTGTGTTGACAAACAAACATAACTACATAACCATTTAGATGCATTTTACCAGCCATGTTGCCCAAATTACTTACTTCCCTTGCGATAACCCCGCCGGATTTTAGTGTTGGTTTGAGGGGAAATAAGTTCACCACTTGTCAAGATTTTGAAACTCAGACAGACACTTCTTGATCTGGTTCAGAAAGAAAAGGCACCTCTTTTGTTTCTATCGCTCTTTTCGCTTTCTTCACAAAAACAAAGAATATCATCAGCAAAAAAATTAAAAATTAAAAATTCTTTGAATGAAACATTCAAAATTTCCTTGTTTTCATCATTAGTTCTTTCTGCATTGTCGATTTCATTCGTTTTCTTCATGATCTGGCATTGATTCATGTTTTCTCTTGTACAAGAATGATTTGATTTTGGTTGTTGTTCATTTTGCAAAATTTCATTGTAGAAAGATTGTACATATGCATATGGAAAAGTGAAAATATAAAGAGTTGGTGCAGCGATGAGCAAAGAAAGCAGTAGCAGTGTGTATAAGGCATGGGAGGCTACGGTGCGCAAAACGCAGGCTGCAAGGAAGCGTGCTAATAGCATTTTTGGAATTTCAGTGGACCATGCAGACGAGGATGATCATGATCATAGCAGTGACGAAAGTGATTGTGGCCCTGAAGAAATGATATATAATGCAGATAGGATTCTTCCCAATGGAGACTACTACACCGGTTTTTGGTGCGAAAATTTCCCTCATGGCCAAGGCAAGTACTTGTGGACCGACGGGTGTATGTACGTTGGAGAGTGGTTCAAAGGCAAAACCATGGGGAAAGGCAGGTTCAGTTGGCCTTCCGGGGCTACATATGAGGGCGAATTTAAAAGTGGGTACATGGATGGAAATGGTACATATACAGGGACAAATGGTGACACTTACAAGGGACAATGGGTTATGAATTTGAAACATGGACACGGTACTAAGCATTATTTTAATGGGGATTGGTATGAAGGCGAATGGAGACGCGGGTTGCAAGAAGGTCATGGGAGGTATCAATGGAAGGATGGGGATAATTATACTGGGGAATGGAAGAATGGAGTGATTTGCGGAAAGGGGTCATTTATTTGGAGTAATGGGAATGGGTATGATGGAAATTGGGAAGATTCGGTGCCTAAAGGAAATGGGACTTTCAGATGGCCTGATGGGAGTCTTTATGTAGGGAATTGGAGTAAGGATCCAAGTGAGCAAAATGGGACTTATTATCCATCCCAGTCATCTCCAGATGCCAATCTTGAATGGAACCCTCAAGATGTGTACAATGTTGACTTGAAGGATTGTAAAATATGTCCCGGGGAGAAGGTTTCGATTTTGCCATCGCAGAAGAAGCTTGCGGTGTGGAGATCAGCAAAGGGTGAAAGTGTTAAGCCAAGAAGAATGTCGGTGGACGGACGGGTAAGTGTAGGGTTGGATAGACCATTTGATAGGCTGCAAATGTGGGATGGTGGTGATCATGATCCGCCTTGTAATGCTGGTGATCATAGGCCTTCTACTGTGGGGGGAGAATTGGTTGAAGATTTGATGGGTTTACATGTGGAAGATGGGAGTCAAAGGGGACTGGCAATGAAGGTATCTAAGACGGCTAGGAGACAAGGGGAAACAATCAGCAAGGGGCATAAAAATTATGAACTCATGCTCAATTTGCAGCTAGGAATCAGGTTTTGATAAACTATTAACTGGGATTTGATTCCTTTTTCCTTTTACTTTTCATTTCACCTATTTCTTTTCTTTTTCATATTATCTTGGTTAAACTTTTTCCTATGATACACTAATTATATCCATCTTCACACAACAAAAATATGTAGTATTGTTTCCTTCTTTTTTTATTATTATTTATGAATCAAGGATCATTACAGCAGTGTAATTTGTTTGATGCTGTTATGGATTTGATTCCTGTAGTCTTATGCCACTCATTTGATGTATGTGGAATAATTCCATGCACAGGCATTCTGTTGGAAGACCAGGTCCATCTGGATCCCTTGACCTGAAGCCTTCGGCTTTCGACCCCAGGGAAAAATATTGGACAAGATTTCCTCCAGAAGGCTCCAAATATACTCCACCACACCAGTCCTGTGAATTTAAATGGAAGGATTACTGCCCTTTAGTCTTCAGGTCTGCCCTTGTATAGAGAGCATGCACATAGCTTGTTGTTGCTTGTTTCTTTAACATTTAGACAAAGAACAGGATATGTTAAATTGGTACTCGATCGTCGCTTGATGTACATTGTTAGTTCATTTTCTAACAGCTTAATGATTACCATGTGAAATTTGTTCTCTTCAGGACTCTTAGGAAGTTGTTCAAGGTCGATGCAGCTGACTACATGTTATCAATCTGTGGGAATGATGCTCTTCGGGAACTCTCTTCTCCTGGTAAAAGTGGCAGCTTCTTTTACTTGACCAATGACGACCGCTATATGATCAAAACCATGAAGAAGGCAGAAGTAAAAGTGAGCTCTATTTCTACTCCCCTCATATATTTTCTGTTACAAATCAACATTGGTTCTAACTAAGTACTTGGCTAATTTGTGTTTCATGATGAACTAGGTGCTTATGAGGATGCTTTCGGCCTATTATAACCATGTTCGGGCATACGAGAACACTCTAGTGACTAAATTTTATGGTCTGCACTGTGTAAAACTAACTGGCCAACCTATTCAAAAGAAGGTATTTGTCCACCTGTAACTAGTTTGAGTTTATGTGTCTGTCATTCGGAGAAAGATGGCCATTAATGTTAATATATCCTACAAATAGATTAAGCATTCAATTGTATGATTATTTTATGATCCAGGTGCGGTTCATCATTATGGGGAACCTTTTCTGTTCTGAATACACGATTCATAGGCGTTTTGACTTGAAGGGGTCTTCCCTTGGTCGA